ATGATCTTTGCCACTCTTTATTTGTCAAGATCATAACGGTTTGATCCACTTGCGCTCACCGAAGTTGTCCTTGGAAAAGGCCGAGGGTCGATTCATTTTCATCAACATTGTAACGAGGGGAGTGGATTTTGATTGCTAGGAAGGTTCGGCTTGTAGTACAAATGTTGTGAAGTTTGCCACCTCCTCCCGCGGTATGCCTCTCTAACGGAAGCCTCAATTACGCTTTATTTGTACATTTCTTGAACAAGAGTCTTTAGTCCTCTCTCATTGAAAGCACCAACGAAACCGCACAGCCCCCCCAAACGTGCTTTCAAAGGAAGGTGCACGATCGATGTCTTTGATCGGCAAGAAAAAAGCCGGGTGGGAAGATCTTTTCCACTTTTGACTACCAACACACAGTGCCACCTTTTCCAATTCCATAGCGATGTTCCGAGATATCTCCTTAGCACACAAAGAAAGAAAGAAATAGCTCAACTCGCCAACACTTTTTCGGACATGCTCGGGGACGTAGCCTCGGACCATTGCGGGGAGAAGCCGCTCAATCCATATATGGTAGTCATGACTCTTCATCCCGTTGACTCGCAAAGTGCCTAAGTTCACTCCCCCTTTCGATTAGCGGCATAGCCATCCGGGAACATCAAGTTCTTGATCCATTGAAGTACTTCCCTCCCGGCATCTATTTTCAAGACGAAAATCCACCTTAGGCTTTTTCCACTTCTTGTTTCACCACTAGGAGGTTGCATCTCTTGTTTTTCCTATCGCACAACGCCGCCAGTCCACTCTAGCCTTAACATTGTCCTTAGATTTCTCTGTATTCATGAGAGTTGCCCAAAGTGCCTCGGCGATATTCTTTTCGGTGTGCATTACATCAATGTTATGTGGCAGAAGAAGGTCATCGAAATAGGGGAGCCTGGTCAAGCCGGACTTATGAGTCCACATATGTTCCTCACCATAACCCACAAAAACCACCTCCTTCTTCGTTGGGCACGAGAGCATCTATCCGAGCATGAACCTCGGCACCACTCCCCGATGTGGGGTTTAGGGTCCATCACACCGCAACACCTTTTGTAAAGTTCTTGATGTCTTGTCTGAATGGATGTTCAGAAGGGAGGAATTGACGATGCTTGTCGAACGACGAATACTTGCCACCCTTTTTCAACCAAATAAACCTCATAGCTTTCTTGCATAGTGGGCACGGGAACTTCCGTGAACACACCAGTATGAGAATAACCCATACGCCAGAAATCATGCAGTGAGAGTAGTGATACCAAACGCGTACATTTTGAAGCTTGACCTTGTAGCTCGGTCGTATGTCCATACCCTCCCCAAGCTTTTATCAATTCGTCAATCACGAGCTCCATGAACACTCCCATATTACTTCACTGGTGTCCAGGAATTATCAACGACAAAAAATACGCATCGTTGGAAGGCGATGCCGGGGGGAGGTTGAGAGGATAGTGAACATAGGCCAACATGTGTATGGGGAAGACATCAATCCATAAGGATTGAATCCATCTGCTATGCGAAGGCGACACGTACATTCTCCGAGCCTCACCGCTTTCTCGGGATGTCGATCATTAAAAATCTTGCCATGCTTCAAAGATCGGATGGATGAACCATCTTGTCCGGATTGTACCGCTTGCCATTCTTGTGCCATGTCATCTGCTTTAGCAGCTTTCCTCGGTCATGAAAAGTTGTTGGATCCTCGCTATGAAAGGAAGGTGACGTAAGACTCTCGCGGGGATCGTAAGTCGCACCTTTGGCCATCACGGATACTACCTCCGGTATCCGGAGGATCCACACTTCGACAAAGATTTTGCATGCTCGTGTTCTTTCCAAAATAGGACACACCCTTTTGGACAACAATGTATCTTATCATATGGCATCTTGAGCGCATGAAGGAGTTTTTTCGACTCATTATGTTAGGGGGCGTAATGTGGTTCTTCGGTAGCATGGTGCCAAACACATCAACATCTTATCGAAGCCTTCTCGACTCAGGTTTAACTCGGCCTTCAGCCCCATCATCACACGCCCAATGGCATCCAAATGAGAAATATTTGTATGCTCGTGAAGGGTTTTAGACGCCGAGTCCAACATTTTGTAGAAGGCTTCTCGTTTGCCTCCATCTCCTCCTTGTCACGTCCTTCAATGATCGAGCTTGGTGAGCGTCATCTATCATGTCTCGCTACCCCAAATCATCATCAAAAGGCTCGAGACGTGGTCTCACCACCTCCTCTCTCGATACAATCGGCTTCACCATGGTAGATCCACCGGTGGTAGCCGGCGATAAACCATGGTACACAAGATGTTTACCCATGGTCCGCTTGTCCACCCTTCTCCTGTTGTCACAGTGGCTGCACGGACACCAAACTAGAGAATGCCCTTTAGCTACACCCTCGCCAAATGCATGTTTCAAGAAGTCATCATCCTCTTCACCCAATCCACGTCGTAATCGTTTTGACTTCTTCGCCCGTGTACATCCACCGACGGTCCTCCATCCTTTGACAAATACATCACCGAGTAACGTAACCATCAACCGCACCTAGCCGGTGTTCCTACCCTAATAGGTGAGGATAGATCCTAATCCACACCAGCGTGTCGTAGATGAGTCGATTTCCATGCTCGCTCCTATCAAGAGAGATTTTGGCAAAGACCTCTCCGATGTTCTCCCAATACACGTCCCGCAAAGAAGTTTGTGTATTCGGAGAACAATGGGGAGGTGCTTGCGCCAAATTTCGCTCGGATCGGAGCGAGCATGGAACCGACCTCATCTACGATACGCTGGCCGTCCAAAAACGTGGATAATCCGAACAGATCACGGCCGAGATACACAAGGATCTCGCATGCCTCAATCGTATCTCTTTTCGGACGGGAGATGCCTAATCGGTTTACGCAGCTCGACAAAGATACAGGAGTAGAGGTTGTTTATACCTAAGGTGGCGGTGGAGACAGGTAGCGGGCAAGGGATGCGAGTCAGGCGGTGGAGAGTCGCGGCGCCGACGAGGACGATCGACTACTCTGAAGCTCCTTTGACGCCCTCTCTTCTCTGCAAAAAAAAGGGTATAAGTTAAAATTTTTGAGAACCTCCCCCGTGACGGGAGGTTTCAAAACTGCAAAAAAAAAATCGGCTCGATGGCCAACACCACATTCACGGCACAAAGGCCGACATATCAACAATGGGAGGCACGAAGGCCATCCACATCAAAAAAGCAGCGCGATGGCCGACAACCCATGGTTTTACCTTCTACTCGACCGAGGGACGGGAAGTGAAGGTGACGGCAAGGTCGCCCGATGAGGCCGTTATCCGTAACCACCTGCATTGCATGCCCAAGTAATTGCTTCAAAACATGACCCGCTTAGACAGTGAATAAAACAAGTGCAATCTGCAGAAAAGCATCTTGAACCAAGAATCCTAAATTTTCCGGCTGTAAGTAAGCACATTACACTTTTCTCTTCCTATAGGAGTTAATTTCATTCATACTTAATAGCGAGCATAAATGTTGTTATTCAGATTTTGCTAAGCTTTGTAGTAGAATCATTTCAAACGTCCCTTTACGGATCGCGTTATGCGAAATAATCATAAGTTCACTAGCAACAAAGACTAATCCATGCAAAAAGCAATACAATGATGCGCAATAACAACATTTCAAGGTTTCAGGTCAAGATTGCGAAATCAAGGTGACTTTGTAAAGAAGAGACTGGGGAGCAGAGGCACCGAACCTTCCGGCGACGACGACGGCGAGGACGCGGCCGGGCGGCGGGTGGGCAAGGCAGCGAAGCGACGAGACGACAGAGAGAGGAGGAAACGAAGGCGACAGGGGAGGGCGGCGGCGGCGTCTGGGCGGCTGGGCCGAAGGCCAGCAAGGGCGGGCGTCTTGTGGCGGGCGGCGGCCAGAGGCATGGCGGCGGGCGGCGAAGAGTGGCGGCTCGGGCGGGCGCGCTGCTTGGGATAAGGCCGCCCGCCCGCCCGCCCTTTTTTATATGGGGTCCCTCTTTGCCGAGGGCCTAGATCCAGAGCCCTCGGCAAAGATTTTTTTTAATTTCTTTGCCGAGGGCCAACATCCAAGGCCCTCGGCAAAGATGTTTTTTATTTCACGCCTGCCATCCCGTTCAAAATATTTGCCGAGGGCCTGCATAACGGGCCCTCGGCAAAGAGTTTTATTTTTTATTTCCAAATTCTTTGCCGAGGGCCTAACGCCGAGCCCTCGGCAAAGGCTGACGGCCGCCAAGGCCCGCCACGCTTCGGCTGAGAGGTCGCCGAGAGGCGGTATTGTGCGAGGGCCCGCCCTCGGCAAAGGTGGGCCTTTGCCGTGGGCCGTTGATTGCCGAGGGTCCGGCCCTCGGCGAACGAGCCGTTGCCGAGGGCGGCCCTCGGCAAAGTCTTTTGCCCTCGGCAATGTTGCTGTTTCCAGTGGTGAATCATATATATGACAAGGGGAATCTGGAATGGTAAAGATAAATTTAATAAGCACAGCAGGAGATAGGGTGTTTTAGTGCTTCTGAACCTAGTTTTCGTACTGTTTCCTTAAGCATGTCGATCACTAGCTAAATGTGAGAAGTGTTGTCACATATAGAAGTTCCAGTGATGATCTCATTATGGATCATCTTTCCTAATATGTATGCTAACGGGTTGATTCCTGTAAAACAATCTTATACGTATTGCTGTATAGCAACACAGTATATAATAGTACATATACACCAAGCCGATATCAGTTGTACTTTTTCATGCTTCCTATCCCAAAATTGGATCATAGATGAAACAAACATATATGTAACCATAAATTGTAGTCATTATTGAATCAATAACAAGGATACAAAGGTAGCACTGAACATTTATCATTGTTCTATTTGGAAGGAAAAAAACTAGAAATATCAAGATTCTATTATTTCAGTTCAGAGACCACTACTTCGAGAACGGCACAGTCCAGAGTTCAGTATTGCTCGATCTATGTCAGCAACGAGCTCACTCCATATCCGAGCGCGGCGAGGAGCTCCAATGTTCAGGCGTTGAGCCAGCTCGCAAAGCTGGGGGACGGCGGCTCCGGCCTGGGACGCAGCCCCATGAAGTCGATCTCCACGGGGGGGTCCATGCCCATGCTGATCGTTCCACCTGCATCGTAGACGACAGGATCCCGCAGTGGCGGGGCCGGAGGCTGCCGCACCTGCACGCGCGGCATCCCGCCGAAGAAGAACCTTGGAGGCGCCACAGGCTGGCCCAGAGCCATCACCGGTGGCGGCAGGAAGAAGGAGGGTGGCAAGACTGGCATCATGCCCGGGCCCGGACCGAATCCCGGCGGCACAGGGGGGAAGGGCACGTCCTGCGCCGGCGCTTTCCCGTGCGACTTAATGTGGCCGGCGAGCGCCCGAGCCGAGGGCCACACCTCGGCGCAGAACTCGCAAACGTAAGGCCCCCGCGGCTGCTCCGGTTGTCGTCCAGCCATGCTTCACCTAGCTAGCTAGCTGGCTGGCGTTCGATCGATCGATCGATCTCTCGGAACGCGGTGTGTGTTGTGTGACGAGCGATGGATCGGAGAAGATGGTTTGCTTTGCTGCTCGCCGTGAGCGGGGGGCGCTGTGCCGTTTATAGAGAAGGGGCAACGGCAGGGGCGGAGCTGGTCACGCCATGCGCACGCCAAATGCCCATCGCGGCACCTACTTCTTTAAGCAGCACTGCCTAGTTTCTGAGGAGTATTTTGGCAGGGTTTAACTGCTGCTTATCTAGTGCCATTCCACGTATACGACGATTGACCAGAATTCTTCATCCAGTGAACCTTTTGTTTTGCATGCAGGACTTGATCGGACGACCGAGAATGCATGGATGTCTTCCCGATCTCTTCTGCAATGTCTCCAGGTTGTTGGTTGGTGGCTCCGGCGTCAAAACCTGTGTCGAGCAAGTACGTACGTACTGCGCTAGCTGACGCCTGACGGCAACCAAATGAAGTACTCAGGACGTAGGAGCAGCCTTCAGGAAGAACCTGCATCTCTTTTTTTTTTGTTCCAAACTTTGTGCCGTGTACGTGCTAATAAGTTTTGCGACATTGTACAGTCGCGTATGGAGATTGATTGTTGTGCACATTTCCTATCCTACAGGTGCCCGAAAGTAAAGATGAACTAGCAACAAGGGAGAAGATGTTCGATCCATGGTTGAGGATGAGTATTGATGGTTGGATTTAGATTAGATGGACGATGTTTGTCGCCTGAAAGGAAAGCAAAAATCAGGCACCTGTGATTTAGAAAACTCATTGTTGTGAGCACTAAAAATTCCCACCTAGGGCTAGGGATCTAGCGAACATATGAACGGGGTGGTGATCATATGGATGCATGGATCGGATTCGCACAATTCTACTACTCTTGGTATGTGTACGACAAACAAAAAAAATCTAAATTTCAAGGGCCACTTTTCCTTGGAATTTTATACAAGTTTCTTTTTTCTTATCTCGGTATAATCTGTGATGTTTGGCTAGAATCAATGAGAGTTTTATCAGAGTTTCATATGCATTTAATAAGTTGCCACATAAACATTTGTTATTATGTGGCAATATTTTTAAGAGAAGAGAGAAGATGCGGGTTTCATGTAGATGAAACTCTCTTGATTATTCGGTTTTTAACTCTAAATGATGAGTCCTAGAATTAAATATCTATGAAACAAAAGAATAAAACTATGCATTAAGAGTAATTGTTTTATCCATTGCATTCTATATTCTTGTAAAAAAATGTTACGAAAATCTTCACTGAGAATGGCGTCAGTAGAAGCTTAATTACGATGCAAATCAGGCTTCCTTTAAAAGAAAAAAAAACAAAGTGTAGCTACACTGCTAGAAGATCAGAAGTCCTGTCGGTGTGGTGGTAGTTTATGATGCTGGTTTTAGCGATGATTTTGAAATGGCCACCTTACGGGTATTTAGTATTTTATTTCAATCGGAATATATGGCGAAAAAAGAACAAGGCGACTTCACTACATGTTGGCTTCTTTGTCCAAACAATTTAAGAACTAACGACAGAAGTAACTTCTCGATCGACCGCTAGCTATAACAGTGTGTTGGAGCTATTAGAGCTATATTAGCATCAAAAGTCTAATTGCTACAAAGGCACTTGAGTGAAAAATGTAACTCAATACTCAGCAATATATATATGTACATGATTAGAAAAACAATATAATATATACTCAACCACCCAGGTTCAAATCCTCTCTGGGACTGAGTATATTACATCTTAGGAAAGTGAGTCTAGCTCAACTGATTGGGTGAGAGATGTAGTCAATGTACCCAACCATCCAAGTTTAAATCCTCTCTTGGACCGAATTTAGGTGTATATTTCTCTTCTTAATGATCAATGAAAAACCACCTAATTCCTCCTAGGTTGAGTCTTGTTTTTTTATATCACATCTTGAGTTGAACTAATTATATATTAGATATATGTACATATGCGTGCATTCTAGGTAATATGCCGCTGCAATTTGAGCTGCTGGAGTACCAGTTCCGTTGTACACAACCAGAATTTTAGACTTCTCCTAATGATGTGGGATTTTTCTAGTGTTTAGCATTCAAAATTTAGTATAAATTTTCCCTACTAAATGCCTCTAGTGAGGATTCTTATGTGCTATGACCAGTGGTAGTGTTTTACTACTACTTTAAAAACAGTAGGAGAATTCCACTATTTTAGCAGTGGTATATGCTAGAATCCAATGTATTCCATGAGTAGGTAATCTTTCCCAAATACTAGAATTCTTTTTTCTGACCGTGTCCAAGCATTTTCATTAAGGCCCTCCTTGACATGTGGGTTTTTTTCATGTTTTCTGTGTTGGTACTTCAAATTAACTACTAGGCATTAGACTCGAGAATGTTGGTCGTTCTATTCTCTTCTTGCTAGCTAAGTGAATTGCTTAAGGCTAGTTTCAGTGCAAGTTTTATTTGTATTAAATAGGTTGTCACATAGGTATTTTTAATGACATATCAGTGTATTTGAAAAGAGAGAAATGAGACTCTTTTGACACAATTACCAACTCGCTTATGAGTCATGAAATTAAACACTTATGAAACTATAGAATGAAACTTTGTATTGAGGGAGAGGGTTTTATCCAAATTTAATTTCATTCTATATGTCTTAAAAATAACGCCATGAAACTATCCACTAAGACTTATGTTTGTTTGTGGGCAATTACGAATTTGTGGCAGCTAATTTTGTGAGGTGAACTCGATCGGCCTTTGTTGAAACAGCCTATTTTGTTTTGACGATCCATATATATATCAAAACTCTAGTTACATGTTGGTTAGAATATCAGATTGGGAATTATTATGCGTAGAATCACGAATGGGTTTTGACCTGGGAGCCGTCTCTAATAGTTTTCTAAGTGGACTTCAAAAGTAAATAATCGTCGAATCGTAGGATGACCAGTACCGATTTTAATATAGACATGGATCCCTTTTTATTTCTTGACTAGATAGACGCTAAGAACATGTTTGACAGAACTCCAAAATAGTTCACAGGTTAAATTTAGGAGGAACTCTGCCAAACAATATATGCAAAAAAAAAGATTCTATGCTAATTCTGCAAAGTGATTATTTGAAATGAAATAGAAGGATAAAAGCTGAAAAAGAGCTCCTCCTGATTAACTACTCGCGCAGATCATGAATCTTCTTACATAAATTTTATCGTACAGAATCATCTCTCAGACAACCACTTTCCACATAGAATTAAGAGCAAAAAAAAGTTGGATCAAACATGCCCAATACTTCACAAATAAAGGTAATAAGTGAGAGGTTGTTGACATATGGATTGATTTTGCTATATAACAACTCTCTCACAGGTAGGGTACAACTCGACTAGATGAGAACACACATTACAGAGGAACAAAAAAACATAAAGCTAAAGATGTTGGAGACCGTAGAGAGTAACAGGATTGATTCCTCTGCTATCGGCTTTACGGGACTTTGTTACTGGCAAGTGGGTCTAATGAACATTAGACCCATCTGTCAGTGACAAAAACCACCATGAAATTGACTCCATAGACGACTCATCACTTGACACATTAGAGAAAAACACAAAAACTAAAAGCTAAAGATGTTGAAGACTGCAGAGACTAACAGGATTGATTCCTCTGCTACCGGCTTTACAGGACTTTGTCACTAACAAGTAGGTCTGATGAACATCAAAAACCCATCTGTCAGTGACAAAAAGTCACCCAGAAGTTGACTCCATAGACGACACATCACTGAAGACTAACATGACCATAGGACTGGATAGCTGTAACTAGAGCAGATGATTTTCATTCCATGCATTCGTTCACAAACGCCACTACCTGCTGGCCGATCGAGGATGACTCCGGCCGGCACGACTCCGTGCTGCTTTCACCGGCGGCCAAGAGTTGAGAGGATCATCATGTAATTTGAGTTTGACCATGTCCTCGTCCCCGGGCTTCACATAGTTCCAGTAAGCACCAGCGTATGTCCACGGTTCCGGAGGAGGGGCCGGATTAGCATGCAGATCTGGCGAGTTAGCACCTTCGCTGCCCACGACGATGGGCAGGACACGAAGACAAGAGATAGTACACTTCCACACCAGCGACGGCGCGCCACCAGGCTGCTGCTGCAGCATGCCCATGGTGACCTTGAAGTGGTGCTCGCAGGAGCAGACAAGCAGCCGGGCCGGCGTGGCACCCGGGCCCCGGGGATCGCGATACAGCAGCCCCACCGGCGGCGGCGTGAGAAGATTAAGGGTGATGGGTACGGGGGGCGCCGGGTAGACATGCCCCGGGACAGGATTGAGGGAAGGGACCTCATGCGCGGCGAAGCAGAATGCGCAGTTGCAGTAGGCGCAGATCACAGGTCGGTCGACTTGGCGCGGGGGCCGGCTGGCGTCCGGAGGCGCCAGGGCGTTGAGGTCCAAGTCGGGGCCTTCCGAACGTATCATCGGGATCCGGCCGTGGGTGCGCAGGTAGCTGTTGATCGCCTTCCCGGCCGCCACCACCGCGCGGGCGCTACTTTCGACCACCTGACTCGTCACCTCCTCGACGGCGGCGACCGGTTGCCCGTCTTCAGGACGAGTCGGGGTGACCGGCGCGCCAGCACGGACTACCTGCAAGACAGAGTCAGTCTGCTTCCTCCCCGGCTGCGGCGGCGGCACGGACGTAGATGAGCCGGAGTCGGAGATGGTGTCGGGGTCGGCGGGCGCCGGGATCACGCAAGCGGCCGCCGTGTTTCTCCTCATCATCTCTCTCGGCTCACGACGGTGGCTTCGGTGGCTGCTCGAAACCGAAGGCTCCTCTACTTGCCGTGGTGGCTGCGAATGCGAACGGTGGCTGCCGTGGTGTGGTGTGGGGTGTGGTGTGTCACGCCTGGCACTTATGCAAGCGACGCGTGAGGATGATGGGCACTGGAGATGGCGCTGGCTGCAGGCCGCGGGGTGCTTGTTTTCGAAGGTCAAAACGGTGGGCTCTCCTCTCTCCAAGGGTCCAAGCACCAAATCTTCTCCTATGGTGTGAGTTGGAGATCGATATACAGATTTGTCTCCACTCAGTGAAATGAATTGCTAGAGGCCGCCAGTTAGTTGACGACAGCGCCAAACACTAATCCAAACGAAAATTTCAAAATTTTCGTCTTCCCTCCTGATATACACGGTGAATAGTTTTGAAAACAAACTGTGCCAAATCAATCAAATACAACATGGCTGGGCTGCCTCCGGGCGGGCATCAAATATTGTCCCGCCTCTCTATTTTCCCCCAAAAAATGACAAAGAATTTTGCTGAGACTTTTAGAAAAAAAAAAAGACAGTTTATTTTATAAAAAAGAGAGAGAATTAGCTCAGTTTATAATAAAAACTGAGTTTGAACATCATATAACTAAGGGTGTCTCACACCTCTATAAACAACTCCGATACGACTCAACTAAAAATACATGGGTTTAGTAAAAAAAAAACAAAAATAATCATGTTTATGACCATAACTTTGTTGGGACAAACAACTCAAGGGCAACAGCTAGCTTACTGGACAAGTAGGGGGATCTACACTCCACAGTTCCCACACAAGCCTCTAAACAAACGACTAATCCAGTCCAACTAAAGCATAATGGCTAAGAGCATGGCTAATAATACAGTCAGTCGTTAATTGTATGTATATTTACAGCTCATCTATCAGTCCACTCATATAGTAGTTGGCTAATAAGACATACTTCGTCATTAATGCATGACCCACTTACTTCTCTCATAAAGTTTCTTAGAGATCGTGACTTACAGCTCACTCCCCCCCCTCTCTCTCTCATATTCACCTCATCATAAGAGCCACTTACAGTCCTTTATTATATTTGCTATAACGCAATTTGCTCATGACGGGATCACTAAGGCCTCATTGCAAAATTTCATCAAACTAAAACAACAAAGCAGCTCCAAATTCCTAGAAAAGCCATGACATTTGTCCTCATTGCCATTCTGGCCACACAAAATTAGGTTTTCATCAGGTGAGGTCCCTATTTGAGCTCGGAGGTATGGAGATAGAGTAGCAATGTTACAGAAGTGCCTCAAGGTTGTGGCGCCAGCAGGCATCATCATTGTCAATAATGTTAGGTAGAAAATTTTGGATTTCGTCCAACGAGCCCTCAACCCCTCACAATCAAGACATGAGAACTGCCCCTATCCACCATCACCATCATCGAGCCACCACCAAAGGGCAAGGAGAGGAGCAAATCCAAACTCTCTTTTCGCTCTCTGGTCTTTCAAGTTGTCATTTTACGTAGAGAAATCTATCCTAGAAGCAGACTCACCCTGATTGGTTGGTGGTCAAAATTTGGTTGCGAAAACTTGGGCAACCCAAGTTTTTGGGTTTCATTTGGTTTGCTACCAAAATTTTCCAACCTCTCATATTTGGTTTACCAAATCTATGGCATATATTTTTGTCCAACTTTTGATAATTTTTGCTTGCCAAATCTTTAGCATAGCAAATTTTGGTAGCCAACCAAGCAAGCTCTTAAGCAAATTCCTACTCAGAATGGCAAAAGGTAGCAAAATTTCAGTGTCAAGAGCCTGAGTACTCATCGATGTAAAGTTTATTCTATGTTTACATAGGTTTGGGTAGCGGTTCTGTTCTTTCAAGAGGCGGAGGGAAGGAGACAAACACCCTAAGATTGCAGTTTTCCTTTAATACCCCTCTAGTTATTATACTAATCAAGGTATTTAAGTGAATTGGTCTTCTTTTTATTTAGTGAAAAACACAAATTTGTTTGAGTAACGAAATGCTACAAGTGTTGTAATCTCCACTAAAGTGAAGCTTATGCGTGCATACAATTCTCTATTTTTTTGCCGTTGACAATGCCCCCACCCCCTGTCAAATTCCTGGCTTCGCCCATGCTTGGATTACTGAATGTTTGATGTATAGTATCGACGAAATTCCATATACACTAATTAGTATATAGTCCAATGATCTATTCATTCAAGTACGAGTTCAACCATAAAAATTTACAGATATTACGCACCATGCATGATAGATGATAAATCAACTGTTCAATCAGAATGAGAGGCAACATGTGACACTTCCATACATGTATAGCAGTCACAACTGATGCCGAGAGTACTGGTTACGGTGAGCTTTAGAAGCTTCAGGACTACACTTTGATAAGATATCAGAGGCGCCATGCTGGAACAAGTATACAGCCATCATAAAAAAAATGCCCGAATAATAATAACATGGTGAAAATCTCAAACTTTACATGGTCTTGATATTCAGTTCACTGTTTCAAAAGTTCAACAGAATGCAAGCCTATAAGAAAAATTGACAAACATGCTAAAAATCACAAAATAGATAGTCGCTTCCATCTAGCAAATCTCTGAATGTCTGGTGTGATAGTGCAATTATCTGAAAAATCATGTTACTCTTCATGAATCTATTTTTTCTCTCACAACAGGAACATATCAATTAATCTTTAATACTTGATCAGGATGATATCTCTTCATGTTATTTTAACCGGGGCAATCAATTAATCTCTTGATCACTCCCCTACGTCATCTGAAAAAGCCGCCACTGCCGCTCCTTCTTCCCTCCTTCCTCTCCGACGACGCTGCAGGTGGCAAGGAGAGCACCCAATCCCTTGATAAGCAGTTTTTAGATTTAAGGCATGTTTGGTACAGCTCATTTTCACTAATAAAGCTGTTTTTTTTTAAACAGCTTCATGAACAACTTTTAGGTGAAGCTGAGTTGTTTTGGAAAAATTGTTTGACAAAACAGTTTCACCAACAACTTCATGCATGGATGGAGAGAGAGAAATGAAAGAGAGCTAGGATAAGCTACTTTTTTCAGCTTCATCTCAACTCATGTCTTTTGAGAGGAGGAGAAAAACAGCTTTATGGGTGAAGTTATTTTAGAAATAAGTGTTTAACAAATAAAACAGCTCACAACAACTCATGAAGCTGTTGTGAGCTATGCCAAACAGGCCCTTAGATTGCTTAGGTACAGTCTAAATAATTCCACTAGTGAAATCATCACTGATGTTTGGCCAAAAACTTGTTACGACTTTGAAGATGTTACTGTTGTGGGAGTTGTTTTCATATGGTGGGAGTTGTTTTTATATGCAGGAGATCAGTTTGTAGTTACTGTCTACAAGAGTAAGGGTGTTCATGGTACTGTGAAATATTAATTTTGGTTCGTCGACCTTATCTTTGATGGTCCCAAAAAGGAAATCAAGCATCCAACTCGACAAATCAAGGGTTAGAGGTGTTGAATTTGCAGCATGTGATGTAACCGACGATTCAATCACCAATATTTTTTTCATCGCTTCATATGTGTTTTGGTCTGGTTTTAAAATTTTGGATCTTGCAACATGTCTAATGTTTTAGGATTGGTCGGGGATTCTCCAGTATAAAGAGAATATCCTGGGTTCAATGTTTGATGAGGCTCTATTTATCTGAAACATCGCCTGCGTGGACCAAAGCCACTATGGAAAAAGAAAATGAAAGGACTTGACAGGGTATTGTTTCTTCTTTATTTTAGGTTATTTCATATATATAATTTGAGAATGCACTGTGCTAGAGTTTTATTATAGTTCTCCCTTCCCTTGGAAAAAACAGGAACCACATATACAACACAATGATCAGAACGAACCAAAGAAGCATATTCAGACATTCAGTCATATCCTACACTCCTATGTGATGAACAGACAAGGCAAAAACTAACAATTGTCCACTTTCTACATGGAAATCAAATAAGTCGAATCAACAAATTATCTTATGCTTGTGATGGTCCTTTGTGATTTACGGCGCAGTAGATGTTTTTAGCAAGCAGTAATCAGCCACAACCACAAGGCCACTGTCCATCTTCTAGGGAATTGACACGACACTGAAGGCTGTTTGGATGAAGACGTGAGAATCTTGCCTGTCCCAGGCGTTGGATGCACCTGGGCTACATTCAAACAAGACCTTAGTAGTTTCACCACAAAAATTGTTATTCATTTCCTATGGAACCATACAAGTTGTTAATATAAACCAAAAAAATATATCAGCTACCACACCATGAAAGCAGTGAATGATTATGTTTACAATAACAGTTCTACTTGAGTTTTTTTTTTAAAAGCTACAATGATCTTGTACTTCATCTATGCTAAATAATGCCAAAATCACCAACAAAGTGTCGAAGTTTTAATAGTTAAGATTACATCTATGTTGGTTTTAGGCTGAGTATATAAATAAACTAGATATCCTGTGAAACAATTATGCTACCAACTGAACATTTCTGTGTTCCTGATGCCACAAATAACTGTGCAACAATTCAAACATAGAGTTCTTCATCTAAAGCCTGCAGTAGTTAAGTTTCAGAGATCAACATATGTTAACTGTCAAATCATGAGCAAAAGATACAGGTGAAGTATGCATCAGCCAGGAAGTAAAATTACCGGATATGTGCTAAAGCAAAATGCCAACAGTAGAAACTGGACAAGTGAAGTGTGTATCAAGTAGGACGTAGAAGCTGACAAGCTAAAACAAAATGGTGACAGTAGAAACTGAAACAGAAGATGTATGATAACAACAACACCCATATCAGAGGAAGAGGATGCCACCAATGGATAACCATACTTTTTAGCAAAATTTTGTATGAACTCGAGTCTGAACCTTGTTGCTTAATCAAGTGACAACATTGAGATTCTTTACTTAGTTCAACACAATAAAACTACATATCTGCGTGTAAAGAAGAGTGAATTTGGATATATTAGTATGTAACACAATGTTCATCATGCATGATGTAACACAAAAAATGATGTAGCACAAAAGGTTTCCACATATAATAAGAGTAAATGCGGATATATTACAACTTCACCAAAACTTAGTAATAGAGTTGATCAATCATAGAGAGAGATCATAGCACATGAAGCCTGAAGCTACGACATAACCATGTTAATAGCATAGCCTTACCTGTGATTTGATGCCACATCCAGCACTTCTAAATGCATTACACAAACTCAAGAGACCAATTACTACTTATTAGTTTACCAAAAAATGCCAGTTCAATTTCAAAATTTAACATCTAGCATTTACTGATTGGACTACAATCGGCTGCTTTCTATTTACATTTATAAGTGCGGTAAAAGTAGAAACCGTCACAGCTTTAGCAAAATGTAAATAGTCCTCCAGTCATCAAAAGATGGCATTAGGCAGGATAATCAATGCAAATTTGCACTAATTATCCTGTCCTAAAGTCATCTTTTGATGCAGTACTACAGGAAGTTTAATTCCAGATATGACATTAATGAACTATGTGTCGCGCATGAAGCTAAAACGTAAGCATGCAATGACCTAATATTTACTACCTATGGATGTCATATCAAACAAGAAAATATGCACAGAATGGTATGACGACGGGCTTTACTTCGAAGGAAGTACAGAGGAGATCGAGGAGCGTGAGAGCGTGCAAGGGTTCGGCGGGCAGGAGCCGTGATTGCGGTGGCAAGAGATGACGATGAACAGGGAGACGCCGGGCGCCCAAGGGTGACTTGTAGTCACAATCCCAAGCTAATTGTTTCCTTAATGAAGTTGGACTCTTATAGTCCTTACAACTCGACCCTGATACTTGACTCTGGACGTTAACCAACTCGACTATTTACTCCTATGAATCTGGACCAAATCTTCTAAGACTCTAACCCAAATCTGCTAGGACTCTAGATGAGCCTGAATACGACAGCCGATGGTGACCACGTTCCACCTATCCCTGGTCCGGTTCAGGCCCTTCTGTTGTTGCGCCTTGCATAAGTCTTCCCCACCATAACACAGAAAGTTCGCAGTAGCAGACTATAAGCATTATTATAATTACTTTCGTTTCAATTTTCAAACTTCAATGACCAGCATGTGCTGCATCCTAATAACATTGCCTGCTTTCCCCTGGCACATTAGTATTGCATCCTTTCTAGCCTCTGGTAGATGAACTTGCAATGTAAACATTTCCAAGCATCAATAACATGTATAAACACAAAGGATCACATAAATAGCATGAACACAGCACAAACATAGACAGCAAAAACACATGCAAGCTGAACTTAGTACTAAATGCAGTACTGATAATCTGATATTAGAGTTTGCATCCGCATCATCCATGGCAGATAGCAAGAAGGGACCAAGCATCATGTTTGAGGAGAAGGGGGGAGCAAGCATAGAAACAGCATTGAAGAGAAAAAAAAGAAGTACTATGCAGAATCAAAAGCTAGCCAGGATTACATCGCCTGAAGCAAGTGCCTATCTCCCAGCATAAAGAATTACAAATAAAGGAATGGAGAACACAAGAAAATCTCTAGAATTCCTCTAATCAAATAGACACACCAGCTTGGAAAACAGCAATAACATGTGATCAGTCTATACGACTAATACGAGTATACCAGATGATATGAAACAACGATAATTGGTATCCAACTTTCTTACCAACATGAATTTCAATCGTGTTGCTTAATTAATTAACAAGACTGATAATCTTACCTGGTTTAACACAACAAGACGTACTACTTTATTTTCAATATTGTTTAGCATATAACACAATGTGACACATGAATGCCTGAGTAAATGCAGAAATATTATAGGTTTGGCAAAAAGTGAGCAACAGAGTTGTTCATCAGAGAGATGTTAAACTATGCATGCATGAATCTTGGAAATGTTAATAACATAACCTTACCTGTGCTTTGACACCACATCCAACACAACTGGATTGCAGGAAGAACTAGGGAGGCCAATTACTACTCGCTAAAACAGTGTCACTTCAATTTCAAAATTTAACATCTAGCATTTTTATACATATTGCTTGGTCGCTTCTACAATCTGCTGCTTGTATTAACATCTATAAACTGCTGTAAAGGCAGAAATGCTGCAACTTCGTAGAAATGTAATAGTCCAGAAATTTTATTTCCAGATATGCCATTTATGCACTATGCATTATGTATGAAGCTATAAGCTTATGGTATGAATGCAATTACTGAATATTAAATATGATCATAAAATGACCTAATATGCATGTATAGATGTCATATCTGACGCAATCAAATATACCACAGGAAGTTCACAGAGAGAAACTATAATCTTACTATAATAAGCTAGGTTCCATTTCAAAGTTCAATGTCGTGTGTGAAATAACATGACTACTTTGCCCTGGCACATATAATGACGTACTCCTAAGAAGCAAGTACAGTATGGATTCTCACACTAGTTGTCCGTACATCATGAAACAATTGTTTTAAATTCCATATGTTCTACTAACAATCTATGCCCTGTGTAGGGGCGGACCTACAGTCACCCCAGAAGGGGCAGCACAGAACCTCACTTAATTCTTGTCCCCCATACCCATAGTAAATCACAAATTTCCACCATAGGTGTCCCTGCTTCGCACAATCATAAGGCCCTCAGCTAGTGCTAAACTAGCTTTGGATAGCATGCCCATGCTCAGTATTCTTGCTGGGGCCCCCTGGCCCTGTGCATGAAACTGCAGTAATCAGGCATTACTTGTGCTGTGATTTCACATGTATAACATTGCACTGTTAGCAATTTACATGAAATTTGATTGCTCCATCATCCTCTACACACTAGTACTACATGCTTTCTAACCTCTGGTGCGTCAACTTGCAAGGAAAAACAGAAGCCTATTTCCAAGCATCAATAAAGGATCACATCAATAACATGTAATAAACTACTATAACCAACAATCAAACAGGTGAACTAAGCTTAGTACTGAATGTGGATTATGTCACTAATTATCTGAACATCATAAGGGGTGGAACTACAGTCAACCGAGCAGGCGCCCAGATTCTCACTTAATTCTTGGCCCACATAGTATCACAAATTTCCACCATAGATGACCCTGCTTCGCATTAATCATAAGGCTCTCAGCTAGTGTGAAACTAGCTTCGGCTAGCATGCCCCTGCTCCTTTTTTCTGAACCTGCCCTGGCCCTGTGCATGAAAATTGAAACTGCGGTGATCAGGCATTACTTGTGTTGTGGTTTCACATGTATAACATTGCACTGTTAGCAATTTATATGAAATTTGATCGCTCCATCATCCTCTGCACACTAGTGCTATATGCTTTATAACCTCTGGTACATCAACTTGCAATGAAAAACGGAAACCCAACTCCAAGCATCAATAAAGGATCACATCAATAAAAAAAAGGGCGTACCTAGTGCAGAGAGCTCCCGCTCTGTGCGGGGTCTGGGGAAGGAGTGTTAGTGGCAAGCCTTACCCTCGCCTGTGAAATGCGAGGAGACCGCGACTTGAACCCGGGACCTTCCGGTCACAGGCGGTAAGACTCTACCGCTTGCACCAGGCCCGCCCTTCCAAAGGATCACATCAATAACATGTAATAAAACTAATATTACCAGAAATCAAACAGGTGACCTAAGCTTAGTACTAAATGTGGATAGATATCAGAATTCAATTTTTACAAATTGCATCATCCATGATGCATGGCAAAAGGAACAAAATACAGAAACAGGGTTAAAGACTAACATAGTAATATTGAGTAAAGATAAGCTACACCCAGGACTTATTCATCTGGAAAACTGCCTACCTGGTAGTATGGACGACAATCGACGGTGCAAACAAATTACTGATGCACAGAAAATAAAACACTAGCATTCTTAGCGCCAGATGGAAAAATGATATAAGGAAGTTCAAAATAGGGATTTATAACACACAATCATATTATATTAGCATAATAATGATATGAAATGACTAGAGCACCTGATGCTGCAAAAGACAAAGCAACTGCTATTTTAACTAAGAAATTGTTGGCAAATATCATAATCAAGTAGTCAGCAGTTCAATAAACATTTAAACACACATATCATCACATCAAACCATCAACGACGTGAACTAAATGGTACCAAAGCCAAAAACTAACGCAACCTTACTGCTAAACTCATTGAAATTATAGTCCAAACTTTGCCCTATCCATGACAGCGACAGGTTCCAAAATCACAGAACAGATTCACAGGACCAACAGCATACTATTCAGAAGAGCAAACAGACAGGTCATCATGTCGCCATCCCCTTCACTCGGCCTTGTGTCGGCGGCGGCGGCGGCGGCCTCCTCCACCTTCTCCTCCAACTCGTCCACCTTCTCCTCGACCTTCTCCTCCACCTCGGCCGGGGCCGGCGGCGCGGACGGCTCCGCTGGTGCGGGCGCCTTCTCCTCCTCCGCCTCGGACGCAGCGGCAGGCGCAGGGGCCTCCTCCTGGTCGGGGTCGCGGGCGGTGTCGGTGGAGCGGGAGACGGCGGCGCGGAGGCGGTCCATGAAGGGCCTGAAGGCGGTCTCCACGGTGACCCATGCGAGCACGAGCCCCCCGGCGACGATCACCACCGTCTTCAGGGCGCTACCCTCGCGCTGGCCTCCACCTCCCTTCGCCATGGGTGCTCGCGGGTCGCTGGTGACGGATGGGTGGCGTGATGCGCGTGTGATGGGTGCCGCGGGCGCCGGGGGTTTGGGGGTTCTACGCGCGTGGGGAAAACAACGGGAGGCTTTTCCTGTATGCCACCTCGTTCTTATAAAAAGTTCACCACTAAAAACTTTATGGGGACCACGTTATTCATCCGATTGATTTTCATCTATTGGTCTGATCATGAAAAATATACAAAATGCCCCTTTCAATCCTCCCCACGATTATTCTATCCGCTCTTCTATTATATTTCCACCGTTGTCATGGACGTAACCCTGACATATGGGCTCGATCCTCGAAAAATGTCCAAATGTCCTCCTTTCTCTCCCAATATGGCTGAGGGGGGTGAATAGCCTATTTAAAAATCTATAAACCAACTAAAGCAATTTGATTAGTATGACAAATAACGAAAAGCAAACTTGCTCTAGCTCTACAAGGGTTGTAAGCCACCTATCCAACAATTCTAGTTACTATGATCACTAGACACACAATTTACTAAGTCGTTACTCACTAAGAGCTCTCACACTTATTACACTAAAGAGCTTCACTAAATAAACTTAAGCTACAAAGCAAGCTCTCAATTCTAACTACACTAAAGAGTTTACTACAACTAGTTTACAGGTATGTAAATGAGTAAGGTGATTATACCGCCGTGTAGAGAAGTGAATCAATCACAAGATGAATACTAACTCAATCACCGGAAGAATACCAAAGGGCAAGAGACAACCAATTTTCTTCCGAGGTTCACGTGCTTGCCAACAAGCTACATCCCCGTTGTGTCGACCAACACTTGGTGGCTCGGCGGCTAAGAGGTGTTGCACGAACCTCGTCCACACAATTGAACATCGCAAGAACCTACCTACAAGTAAGGTAACTCAATGACACGAGCAATCCACTAGGGTTACATTTCGGCGCTCCGCCGGGGAAGGTACAAGTCCCCTCACAATCACCGGAGATGGCCACGAACAATCACCAACTTGTGCTAATTCTCCTCCACTATACCAAGCCGTCTAGGTGGTGGCAACCACCAAGAGCAACAAGTGAATCCGACAGCGAAACACAAACACCAAGTGCCTCTAGATGCAATCACTCAAGCAATACACTTGGATCCTCTGCCAATCTCTCAAAGATTATGAATCAATGATGGAGATGAGTGGAAGGGCTTTGGCTAAGCTCACAAGGTTACTATGTCAATGCAAATGGCCAAGAGAGTGAACTTGAGCCGGCCATGGGGCTTAAATAGAGAGCCCCCACGAATAGAGTCGTTGGCTCTCTGTTCACTAGAAATCGGAGACCTTGCCCGGCAGATCGGGACACAGGACCCGGCGTTCGGGTCACACGATGCACGCCACGTGGCCCCCGCTTCAAATGTTGATCGCCAAGTCAGCGGTCAGCGGTGCATAAGTTGTGGCCGGACGACCGGACGCTCAAAGTGACCGGACGCAGGACCCCAGCCGTGATGTTGAGTCCGATCACCACCGACCGACTCGCTTGTCCGCCTCCTCTGGGCACCGCCACAGGGAGCGAGACCATCTTCTTTTATAATTGATCGGACGTTGCTCCCAAAGATTCATTGCACTATGTGAAACCCATCTTTTTACTGCAGAGCCCGTGGTTCATTTGAAATGTCCGGTTTTACAACTTACACTCCATAAAACACATAATGTGTATCACCTTTGTGCACGTGTGTTAGCATATTTTTACAAGTATTTTCAAAGGTGTTAGCTTTCCACTAGATTCTAAATGCATATGCAATGAGTTAGAGCATCTAGTGGCACTTTGATAACCACATTTCGATACGATTTTCACTTCTCTTAATAGTACGGCTATCGATCCTAAATGTGATCACACTCTTTAAGTGTCTTGATCACTAAACCAAAAAGTTCATATCAATTTCACATTTACCTTGAGCTTTTTGTTTTTCTTTCTCTTCTTTTCCAAGTCTAAGCACTTGATCATCACCATGGCATCACCATTATCATGTCATGATCTTTATTTGCTTCACTACTTGGAGTAGTACTACCAATCTCATAATCACTTTGATAAACTAGGTTAGCACTTAGGGTTTATCAATTCACCAAAACTAAACTAGAGCTTTTATACGGCCGTGGGGCTCTAGCCCTACTCTTCTCGTAGGATGGCCAAGAGAGGTGGGTGGGCGGGCGCCCACGGCGGAAGGAAGGGGCCGGATGAGGCCGATGGCCACGTTGAGCCCATGGACGCGCACGCGTCGATGGAAGAAGGAGTGGGAGAGTGTGAAGGGAGCGCCGTGCGAGCAAAGGGGGAAAGCGGCTATGAGGTGGGAGGTCACCGGGCCGGGGATGTTGGCGCCCGACTCCTGCAGGTCCGGGCGGGAGAGCGAGAATCGATGGACTTGTACAAGAAATCTGAGTAGGTCTGCCACGTTGGCGGGCGGGAGGAAGGAGGCGAGCTTGGCAACGGTGTCGAAGAGCTTCCTAGAGACGGACAGCGGGGCCTTGCGGGGAGGCCGAGAGGAGAGCAGCAAGCAGAGCGAGGGATCGCATGGCGGGCGGCCAGCCGGTGTAGGAGGATGATGAAGGCGATGAGGCGGTGCAGCCAAGCTGACGGCCGCGATGGGCGCGAGGGCGCCAGCAGAGCAAAGCGAGCGCGAGGCTCGCCCGTCAAGCGCCTGGACCTGGGACCCGAGGGCGTGGAATCATTGCTCCGTCTTGCGCCAGCGCCTGGTTAATGCCGGGAGGTGAGGGAGCGCCGCGGCGGGCGCCAGGACCGGCCACGTGGCCTTTTTTTTTTGATCCATGGGAACCTGTGGCGCAGCGAGAGGGGAGCGAGGAGGCGAATCAGGAGGCCGTCTGGGATTTTTTTTTTTAAATGGCGCGTGAGAGAATGAGCTTCCTCTACCATGTCGACGAGAATAGCTTCCTCTACCACGACGCCAGATGAATGAAGATGAAAGGATGAGGAGGAAGACGGTGACTAGGTCACTTGCGCTTTAGCCCCACCGGCCGGAGAGAGAAAGGGAGAGGATAGGTTATGAGAGAAGGGTATTCTGCACATTATCACCGGTCGGCCCGTATGTCGTGGTGCCAAACGGTGGAAACCTAATGGTAAGCGAACGGGAATGGCGTAGAGAATAAGGAAGTTTAGTGTTATGGCACCAGGGTCCGTATAAATTTTTTTAGTAGCATATAGAAATGGAGCATCTTTCGTAATGGCACGGGGGGAAAAGCCTCAAACAACGGCGGGGAGGGGGGAAGCTTTTTGTCTTTGCACTGTAGCGCACGAAAGGGAAGGCCGGAGGAAGAGGACAAGCCGAGGGACGGAGGAGAGACGAGCCGTGACCACCTGTCCAACTGACCTGGACGGGGTGGAGGTGGAGTGGGCCGCGCGGGCTGTGTGGTACGGGGGCGGCCGCTCCCGGATAGGCCATGGGCTGGCTTTTGGAGCGGTGGCTTCAGCTCGAAACTGATATTGGGCTGGATTTCGCGAAGGCCGCGAAGAAGATTGGAAGAATTGGGTTGGGCGTCCACCCATTCGCCTGGCCCGGGTAAGAAAACGTCGGTGGCCTTTATTATACGAGGAAAAGGCAAGGTTGGGTTGGCTTTCCTTCCAAATTCCATGGACCGCCGCCGCCGCCGCCGCCGAATTCACGTCCGTTTCCCGGGGCTCCACCGATTCCTTCCATCGGAGCGCTGCCGAACCATCCATTTTCTCGTGGTGCACTGCTCGACTGCACGTCCATCGGACTTGTCGTAGGTGACAGAATTGACCGCCTACCTGTTCACATGTGACGCTTCACCTTCTGTTGTGCTTGCTACTACTTCTGGTACTGGTAGCGGTAGACAGGGACTCGAGAGAATAGTATGTGTCGTTCTAGAAACGAAATTGAAGTGAAATTGGCGTTCGAATCCATGTCTCGAAGACATCGTGAGACCTTCTACGATGACTAACGTCGACGAATTCTCAGCCTGGGCAAAAAAAACCAAAACCAAAAAACCGAACCGAAAGAATCGGAATCGAAGCCGAAAGAACCGAACCAAAAATTTGGTTTCTGATATTAAGGAACCGAAATAACCGAAGAAAATTCGGTTCCTACTCTTGGTTAACCAAATTAACCAAAAGAATCGAATTATATGTATTATACTCCACTTACTTGTATTTTGTAAGATTATGTTTGGTTTATATGTGGTGTTTCATATTTGAACTATTGTATATTTGTGTTACTATATTGCTATTGTTCCTAATAAATTATTATTATTAAAAATGAATATAGTGTTGTATAAATTTGCCTTAGAACACGTACATTTATTGTTTCTCTTGACCTCTTTTGAAAAAGTTCGGTTAGTTCAGTTAGAACCGGAACTAAAACCGAACTAAAATAACCGAGAACAAAATAGTCGGCTCTGAGAATTTTTAGAACCGATTGGTTTCTATTTTCTAAGAACTAAATTTCTTTAGAAACCCATGGTTCCATGAACCGGGGGTACCGGCGGCAACTCTCGTCTGAGAATATTCTCCTAGCTGCTGCTTAGGTTGACAGACATTTTATGAGAAAAAGCTGCTTTGCGTTGCATACACTACTATGGTTCCATGAACCGGCGTGCACCGACACACCGATACATGGCAACTGTTTACGTCTTCGAGAATATTCTCTAAAACCAAAATAGTGCTGAGACTCAGGTTGACAGACATTTCATCTCATGAGTTTTCGTAAGCTTTTCCAGCTGTTTTTGCGTTGCATTGACCAACTACTACTTCCAGGCTTCCAGCAAACGCGTGCACCGACACCGATACATGGCAGAATGTTTACAGGTTAGACTGTCTTCGACAATAAACCAAAATAGTTGGTAGGAGACTCATAATCAATATCCAACAGAATATCTATGCGGGAGATCTATTTTAGGTTGTTTGAGAGACCATCTCTAAATATAAGATCCTCTCTAAGTTTGCGATCAATTCTCTTTTGATCTTAAAACCTATAGTTTAAAGAAGAAGATTTCTTTATGTTTTGGATCTTATTGTTGAAGAAGTTAGTGAATAGTTAAAGAAGATGACGAATATGTATTAAATCTTTTACGTGTAGCGCTAGCAAAAGACGAATAGATCTTATATTTATTTGAAGCGTTGAATTTGGAGATAGCCTAGTTGGCATGGCAGCCGCTGAAAAGACATATCAGATCTGGGCTGAGACTCTGAATGAAGGCATATCACTACTCAAGAACAGAGGAGCACAATTTGCATTAGTTTTATTTACCGCTGGAGGCAAAAACAGTACAAAATCAACCAAACATTGGACATTTACATCGTCCAAAAGAACCCAAAAGAATATAAAGAACGGGCATATAACACATCTTCAACTCTACAGGGGCACTAGATCTACACAGCACAGGATGGTAAAACCTACATTCCATTTCATTCATCATCGATTCACCGAGCTACTTGTTTTCACTTATAACGGTACAGCGATATCTTCACCATCGATCTCACGCACCTGTGGAACCTGAATCTTCTTCTTCTCGTGCCTCTCACCGTTCTCCGTTTCTGAATCTGGAGGAGATCGGCTGCAAACGGCACCAGCAACCGCGACGGCTCCTTAGTGCGCCATGGCGTGGCTGGTGTGGTGGAAGCTCTGCCGCTGTGCGTAGGCGAACGCCGCCGCCGGCTTGCACTGGACGTTGTGCACCGCCGCCGCCGAAGACGGCAGGGACGACTGCTTGTGCGTGGTGGGGAGCGAGTGCGTGGACATGACGAGCCGCCGGACGCCGGAGCGCATCTTGTAGAGGATGTGGCCCCAGCTGCCCCTGCTCTGGCGGCCCAGCGCGGCGACCTCCTCCTCGTTCATCTCGAGGTCCCCCGCGAAGCCGGGCTTCTTGGAGAGGAGCCAACCGACGCCCCACTGCCACCACTGCCTCAGGGAGCCGCCTCCCGCGGCGAACGCGGCGCCGAGGGAAGGCGCCGACTTGGAGCGCCGGAACGCCCACTCGGCCGACGCGGAGGAGATGGGCTGGATCTTGCCCGAGAAGGAGGACAGCCGCTTCCTCAGGCCCATGAGGTGGCTGTCCTCCTTGCCACCACCGCCGCCCTGGAAGGTGGGCAGCTCGTCCTTGAGCGGCCTGGTCGGCAGGAACCTCGCCTTCTGGATGTTCTCCAGGATGGTGGCCATGGCCGGACCGGATAGAGGCAAAGCAAGCAAAGCAAAGAGCCAAAGAGAAGAGGACGGAGAAGGTCTCAAGCTTTCAAGAGGGCAAATGGCCTTCTCGTCGTGCTCTCTCACCCCCAGATCTCTCGCTTCCTTCTCCTTTTGGTGTGGACAGAGGATGGATGAGGAAGGTGAGGGGGAGGTATGTGTATGTGATGGCGCGGTGTTTGTGTTTGTGTCGCAGCCACAACAGCTTGCCTCCGCCACGACAGGCTGGCTTTATTCATGCATGAGGGGGACACGAACGAGGTGTGCAGTTGAAAGTTCCTCCTCTAGTAGCTTTGTGAATGAACAGAAGAACATGCTATAGCGCGAGGCGACGTGAACGAATTACCAAATCTTTTTTTTTCTGAGGATCGCGCTCGCGAGTGGCAAGCCTGTGGCTTGCTCCTCCAGCTTTCGACGAATCAGGCAGCTCAGATACACCGGAGCCGTGTTGGCCCAAAAATGATGCGTTCGTTGTCTAGCAGCTAAAAAATCTTTTTTCTCCTCCGACGACGAATCAGGTGCAGGCCGTGTTGATAAATGATGGCCACCTGCTGGTGCGGGCAGGCCTCGATTTGACGTCCACCAAGTGGTGTGCTGTCCGGCTCTGTGTGACTCGGTTCAGGCGTTCAGCAGCTCATGCCACCAACTCATCTGATCTGAACAGCGGCCGTCTGATTATTGTCGTAACAAACATGTGCCTCTTCGGGCTAACAACATCAACTTTAAATTCCTTATAAAAAAATGAACTTCAAATTGTTTTTTTTTATAAAGGAACTTCAAATTGTTAGCGTCCTTCGATGAAATCGAATGCTTTTATTTTTTTGTCTTTCACACAAGCGGTGCGGCCATGCCGCTATCAAAAACATGCAAGACAAAGTTTATTTAGAGTCAAACTAACTTAAGTTTAACTTAGTTTATAAAAAAGTATCAACATTTAACACTCCAAACAATTATATTATAAAAATATATTCCATGCTAATGATACTTATTTAGATTGATAAATTTTAATATCTTTTTAGTATGAATTTAGTCAAATAAAGATAGTATGTACTGTTTTAGAATTGTACTTTTTTTACCGAGAGATTATTTTTCCTTTGTATAGGATGCAGCGTTTGCAGTTACGGGAAAAGGTGTAAACCGAAGCTTCGGATGATTCACTCATGGACCGAAGGAGGGAATGTGACAGAGCTGTTTATTTGATTAGCATTTACTTAAAAAAATTTGGGTAGCTGCAGCAACCAAAGGGTTCCACATGAGAACATGGGGGAGGCCGGAGGAGGGAGGGGAGGAGCCAATCATCCATCGTCCAAATGGCAGCCGTGTGCCCATCAACCTTGTCTGTCCGACTGTCCCCGCCTGCTACCGAAACATTTTGGCTGCCTTAATTTTCCTTTTGTATAGGATGCAGCGTTTGCAGTTAAACACTGGAAAAGGTGTAAATTTCCGCCGAAGCTTCGGATGATTCATTCATGGACCGAAGGAGGGAATGTGACAGAGCTGTTTATTTGATTAGCATTTTCTTAAAAAAGAGCTTGGGTTCTCCAGCTGCAGCAATCCAAAGGGTTCCAGAACATGAGAACATGGGGAGGCCGGAGGAGGAGTGAGGTGTAGTGGTAAAACCAATCATCCATCGTCCAAATGGCAGCCGTGTGCCCATCAACCTTGTCTGTCCGACTGTCCCCGCCTGCTCGTCGTAGGAAAATTTTCAGCTCTTCACATTTTTTCTTTCATCATAGGCTTTAAGGTAGAGCTTTCCAGCAATGATTCTCCACAGCAAATGCACGCCAATCTACCTTCACAAAACACCATTCAGAGTTGCATGCTCTGAACATAAACTTACACTACACGGTTACACTCCATATCTGCTGCCATCGTTTTTACGGTAGTGATTGTTGGCCGAGAGAATGCAGTCAGGTCAGGACTCAGGAGGAGGATTGAGGAAGAAGCGCACAGCCGCACGCACAGGTGCCGAGTCTGCAGTTCGTGCGGCTCATGTACATGGCTGCAGTTCACAAGTCCAACTCCGAGCCTGACATTGACACAGCACTCGGCGGCCCTCGCCTATTTCTCCTCTCTTCCTTTTTCGGTTGCTTCCGCTCGCCGACACTAACTTTCATTGAATGCACAGCAATGGTAGGTTGGGGGGTTGGTGGAAGAATCAGCCCGAGTGGTGGAGCTCAACTGAAGCCGGACCTCATTGTTTCCAACTAAATTGGCAGTATTTTTTAATACTCCATACAAATGGCTAAAAAATTAATGTGGTTTCTCAACTGAAGCCGGACCTCATTGTTTTCGCGGCAGTATTTTAGCCCCGGTTTCGGTTGCTCCGTCGTCAGTCTGTAACATGCCTGTTCCAGGACTTCCGGTTCAGGCCTCAGAGGGCGGTTGGCCGGTGGTGGCATATACTCCTGTCCTAGCATTGTAGTTCTCCCGCACAAAAGAAAAAACTCGTGCAGATGTAATAGCAGGCGAGGAAAACGAGCTGTATTTTTTTAGCTTCGACATATTAATAATATCATACGGTTCAGACTTCACGGCATATACGGCATTAGATGTGCGACAGCCACCAAATTTCTGCCTCAACAGTAGTTGCATTTGGATCTAACAATGACTACTTACATTACAGCTCATCTAAGAAAGTGACCTGTTAAACACCGATCACACAATGGAGAACTGAACTCATGTAAAACATCGATCACACAAGTGGGCGGCTCTGCGCCACGGCTGAATCCGATCAGTCGATCACGGTACACGATTATATCAGGGTGGGAAACTTTTAGGCCTCGTTCGTTTCTCTCGGATCGGCCCGGAAAGAGGTCCATTCCACCCGGATTGGGCCAGCACAGAATTAATACCAGTCCAGCATGGAGCAGGCGTTCGGTTAAGGCTAGCCTAGATTACAATCCGGCCCGTTTCGACAATTCGACCCCCTCTACAGCCTGAAACCAATCCCCACCTATGACCCCGCAGGAACGAATCCCTCTGGAATCTGGTCCATGAATGAAAAGTGGGCCAGATTCAAGCCTAAGCTGCCGAACGAGGCCTTATACAGAAGTAAAAGGATCATCTGGGATACGCGTCCTCTATAAAAGCAAGCACGAAGCTTGGAATCACTGTTACAGGATCCCCAACACACAAATTCACCTTGCTCTCTTGAGAAGATACCGGAGAGAAAATAACCCTAGAGCAAAGGTTTGCCAAAACCACCCAGTGGCATTCCTTGGATCAACTTTTTTCGCCAAGAACCAGGCATACACGGCTTCGCCAAAATGCAATGCAATTGCTATCACCAAGACCAGCCGGATCACAAGCATCGAGCGAAAAACAAACAGATGGATGTCGAGCACCCATTTCAATGGGCCGACTGGTGGAAGACAAGCAGCAGAAAACACAGCCAGCATTCCAATTGTTACAGCCAACCAAGTAAATATGGTCGGGCCATCCAGTTCCCTTCTCTTCCGGTTCTTCCAATATGAGATTGTCGCAGCTAAGCCTTCGTGAGGCCTCACCATAGGTACATAGCCGAGTTCCTCTCTAGCTTTCAAGAACGAAAAGTAGTGTGTAACACCAACCTGTCACAATTAGCAAGCAACATCAGATGTATTATTTACAGATCCTTGGATAATGGCATTTGTACCTTAACTTTTGTCCAACATCAAACAAAAGTATTATTTGCAAGTCTGCTGGCCTAGTCAAGAGTAGTTCAGTAGACAGATCCCTTGAAAAGAACTTAAAAAAAATAGCAATGAAATTGATATGACTGGTCCACTTGACCATTATATTCATATTTCAAAACTATACTGGGATAGGTAAAGTGGAAACACAAAAGAAAACATCAAGATTGCATATGACAGAGGCTGACCTTATACACTTCAGCAGGGAGAATTAAAGGCTGAGGCATCCATTTACTATCAAGCCATGGATAGAACAGTGTAGATATGAATAAAAATATTCTTGAAATGGCAAGGGCAACAGAGGTATCCAGCATCACTTGAGGAATGGAATAATCCAAACTTTGAAATAAGGGCTTGATGATAAAGTCAAAAGTATTGCATGGTGATCCTGCAAAACAGTTATAGCTCAATAAGGCAATGAAATGTATAACTATAATAATTAGCATGTTCTATATTACAGAGATTTCAAGACACCAAATTCTCAGGGGACACTTCTCTTATAAGGAAGAAAAAGTCTAAATTCTAGGTTTGTTCAAAGGTTTCAGTATTTATTACTGGGTGTAAACATAACTCATGGAACACTGTGTACTTGTATTGCAAATAATTTTGTTATTCAAGCAATGGAATCCTGGAACACCTAATTACGGAAATAATGAATTCTGTATAATATATACAAAGTGTTGAACTTCAAACTTTCGATGTTCAGAACAAGTGAGAAGGAAAAGTAGCTAATAATTACTTCTTTTCCTCGAGCGCGCAGGAGGAGCTGTGTATCCTTATATTAAGAAGAAATAGGATAAAAGAGCCCAAAAAAACAAGGAATCACACAAACACTCACCCTGCAAACACACCCACACCCACACTCAGCCTGTGAAAATCAGAGTTGCACCTTTGTTACATGATAAGCAACCAAAAACTACCTCCAACGAACTATAAACTAACCAGTACCAAGCCGTGGGTCAGTCAAAAAGGCGATGCCCTTGGCTCCTGAAAGACCCCATAGCCTCATCTCTTCACCGGCCAAAGCCAAAGACCCCCATTGTGGTAACTCCAAAGGGACCAGGCACCTAGGTTGATTAAGGACCTGCCAAACATGACCATCAACAACCTAACTGATTCTGGACCGCCAGTCTTCAAAGGAGAAGTCTCCCTGCTGAGGGGAAAGGTGTTGCAAGCCAACTTTATGCAGCAGCTCAAACCCACATGAAACAAGGAGGTGGTTGATTGTTTCATCAGGCCTGATCACAAAACAAGCAACTAGATGGATGTTGTAGCCTACGATGAGCGAGACGGTCTGCAGTCCAGCATTTGTTGTGTGCTACCAACCACATAAAGAAGTGACACTTGTTCAAAGTCCAAGATTTCCAAATTCTCTCCCATGGACTGAATACCGCAGCACCCTAGAAGAAGCCATTATAAGTTATTTTGCTGTATACACACCAGAGGTAGAAAGGTGCCAAATATATTTGTCCTCAGTTCCAGGTTGCAACACCACTTGAGATAAGAGGTCCCAGAGATTCAAGAAATCAGCAAGAACACCAACAGAAAATGCTTCCAAGCATGATCAGCGACTGCTTCCAAAAACTGTGCGCTTGTTAACTCTACGGTGCAAGATCTTCAATTCTTTGCCCATGAATCCACCTGTCCGACAGAGTGTAAGCACCATTGCCAACTTCAGAGCATACTGCCATGGAGAAGAAAGATCGGACATATGGATCAACTTGGACCGGGAAGGAAGACCAAGGGCACTCAGGTTCAGTTTTTTGTAACCAAAGCCAACACATCCTAAGTGCCCATCCCATCCGCTGGAGATCAGAGATGCCCAGGCCACCAAGTTCAGGGGATCAACAAGCCTTACCCATGCAACCAAACAGTGCCTTCTTTTTTCCCTCTCCACAAAAATCTCCTCCAGATCTTCTCAATTTCTTTGATGGCCCATGGAGGGAGTTAAGATGTCATGGCTAAGTAGACCAGCATTGAAGTAAGTACATAATGTACCAGCACTTTTCTACAAGCTCAGTTCAACAGATTAGCTTTCCAGCCCGGAAGACGATCAGCTATCCCGTCGATGATGGCTGTACCTCTAATCTATTTAGTACATCAGTTGAAACTATATAATCAGCTTTCCAGTCCGGAAAACGATCAGGCAATTAGCTATCAAGTAGATGATGGGATGTACCTCTGATCTATGTAGTACATAAGTTAAAACTAAATTGCTAGCAATGGCGTTATCGCCAAAATCAAGAAAATAAACCATGAATGTCTTCTCTACCTAGCCTAGGCTTGCATTTTTTTTTCAAATTCAAGTAAAAAACAAAATTAGCAGTACCACTATGGACAGAAAAAAAAAACAAAGATGGGACCTGCATGCGAATAATTTAGTAATGACATCACAGAAGCCTAACAGTAACAGCAATTACCGTCGCAGATGAAATACGCCTGACCAGCTGCTACAGGGGTTCCCTTCCTGTCAGGAATGTCATCTAAAAGTCCCATGCTTGCCACTATCAGAGCAAGAACTAAATTATCTATATACACCCAATCTGTCTTGACATCTGGGCCCCCAATCTTGAAGAATGCTAATCCCAACTTTGCAAGGGACAGGATTCTTGGAAGATGACGCTCTTCACCTGGTCCATATATAGCAGCAGGGCGAATTGCACATGTATAAAGACGAGTACTTTTATCACTCCTGTAAGATTTCAGCCAATCAATAAGACAGGCTGCATACTATCATATGGCACTCTTGACTTACAAGGTGAAATGAAATTAGTATTGTTGTTTAAGAAGGAGCAATTACGCATGACAACACTAAGGTTTTCAGAAGACAATATCATAATCTAAGAAAGTGTACAAAGTGTAGCATTAGCCTAAACAATTTCTTTCTAACTGTCCTTTTGAATGACAGCATGTGGTCCACAAAAAAAACTTAAGCATATTTGCCATATTTTTCAATGTACTGGAGACTAGCAAAGGAGAAGGGTAATTAGCTGGCCGCCCATTACTCTTCAGTACCAACTGTTCAGCAACTGATTTGCTGCGCCCATAAGCATCAACATGGTCTTCAATTGGAAAATAAGGCAACACCTCATTTCCTTTGGCAATTTGCTTTCCTCCAAAAACCACATTGTAAGTGCTTACATACACAAGCCTCCTGACACCTTGCTCGTGGCAAGCGTCCAGTACATTGCAGGTCCTTGTTCGGCTGATAAGATTTTGGATGATTTCGGATGATTCAATAGTATTCTGTGAGAGAATAAACTGAAACAAGCTGAAACGAGCTGAGAACTGAGCAGCCGAACGCCCCCCACATCATCTTTCTTTCTGATGTCCCCTGCGAAACAAGGGCTTAAGAAACTGATGATTTATTCCACAAGCCACATATTGGTATTTGGTAACCAGTTGCATTAATTAAACACAAAGAAACAGAAGCTAACAGGGTGATTGCAGGCAAAACATGTACAGAAAAAACTATGCAATAGCCACTAACTACCTACTTAGATACACACAGATTAAGCAAGCAGTACTGCAGTACTGGTACAGTAATGTCCTCCGTGTGGACACACTAATTTGCAACTTGATCCAGAAGCCGAACTACGGCATAGGACTATAGCACTCTAAAGCGTGTATTCTAAGAGCAGTCCAATTCTGCAACTCACAACGCAGTAAATCACATGAAGTAAGCTATCGACCATGTAGGCTGTAGTGTTGTTGTACTAGTACTAACATCCGCAGAGCACACCCACAGCGACAGCAAAGTAAAACCGTGGTGATTGGTGATGCAGCGATCTGAACTGAAGATGGTAAACGGGAGGGACTGACCTTGGATGGTGCGGACGGGCGTCGAGGAGCTGCTGGGACCAGGAGGAGGAGGCGCGGAGGTCGAGGGACCGGACCTCGCGGGCACCAAGGCGGAGCAGCTCGAGGCAGAGGGCAGCTCCGACGAAGCCCTGCCCGCCCGTCACGGCGAACCGCACGCCCTCGATCCCCTCGTTCGCGCTCAGATGCATCTTCTCGGCGGGGTACAGGTCGCCGGCGACCGACGATAACCTGGGCGGTCGCCCTCCTGCTACTCCTTGCTGCCTGACCCCGGAGCCGGGCGAAGCGTCGGCAGTTCAGCACGACCAAGACCAACTGGACGATGGAGTCTGGACTGTGAACTCGTGAAGTGGACGACTACGAATTCCCTCAGGCAGTACCTCAGGCGAATTTGCATTTTATTCATCGTCATCATCAGAATATCAGGTACCTCTAAAAAACAGAAAAATCAGAGGGGACGACTACTGAGTCTATAGATTGCTTAACCCGTTAGATTAGACTCACTAGTCACTACTGCACAAAAAAAAAAGTAAGTAACATGTAAAATGTGAAAAAAAAGGTCCCACCGAGATTTGAACTCGGGTTACTGGATTCAGAGTCCAATGTCCTGACCACTAGACCATGGGACCTTTGATGTCCACTCTTCACAAACATTTTATATATAGTAGTATAAAAGTTTTTTGGAGATGGACTGAATCCAGGAATCCTTTGTTGACAATACTTGATTAACACCTGCTAGTGAGATTGGGAGCGAACGTTGAAGGAGGATGAGCACGGCTAGGTACAGTAGACAATGGTATGAAGTTTGAACCATAAATTTCTCCATTGTTCCGATTAATTGTCCATACTTCGATTACCGCTTGGCGCAATCGTTTACCGCTCTCCAAGACAGTCGTGTGTAAAGTAGATCACAAAATAATTGTCCTTATTGTAGTGGAGTGGTGGATGTGACTTGGATTTTGAGAAAATCAAGTAGCTAGGGGATCTTGACATCTTGCAATGTGGATTATATTACTAGATAGATTCGTTCCAAAATTACTTTTGAACAAATTCGTTACAAAATTATTAGGCACCCCAGCGTGTTGCATTTTTCACGGGGTAGGAAGCCATGGTATAGATGCCGCAAACACCCTCCGGCTTCCCGGTGCCCATCTTTATCCTGACGTAGCCTTGTTCTCCCCAGTTCTTGCCCCACGAGTTCTTCATGGTGATGTAGTTCTGGCCGTACGACGAACCATATCCGACGGCCGTCAGTGCATGATCAAGCTCGTCGCTGCAGGCCCCGTCAAACACCCCCTGCAGCCAGCCAGACGAGGTACACATGTTACTTCTCTTCTGTGAGACTGACAGCTAGTGACACCATCTGAAAGACTGAAACCACAGGCAGTCAATTTTGTTTACCCCTTTGTAGAACTGGAAGTCCCTGCTCCCCGCAGCTATGCCAACACTGACAGGCTGATGAGCCAACGCTTTCAGCAGGCTTATCTCGCTGTTCTCCGGGACATCCTCGTATCCAGTTATAGTGACGACATTGGCATAAGGCTAAACACGCCAGAGCAAAGAATTAGAACTCTTGTTAGAACTGCTTCAATCCAGCCTACATATGAGGAGGATTTGTGTCTTGTGCGAACCTGTTTTTCTTTGCAGTAGCCTTCTTCCATGAGGTACGGGTAGTCGTCCTCGGCATGGATCCCCTGGCTCCCCATTATGTAAGCGAACGCGAAGTCCATGAGACCCCCTTCGCAGCCGTGATCAAACGTGGTGTCGCAGTCCATCAGCTCCTGCTCTGAGAGTGATACCAGCTTGCCCGTCACAATCTGGTTGATCCCTTCAACCGCTGCCACTGACGAGAAGGCCCAGCAGCTCCCTGCAAGCATTTTTTTTTCACCTTGTTATCGCGGTACCGTTGCACAGTATTATTCTTATGGAATCTGTACTAACAGTATGCTGAAAAGGATGGTGTGCATATATATTGTTCAGAGATGGAACTCACCGCATTTTCCTTGGTTCTTGACCGGCGTCACGGCTCCCTTGTACCTCCAGTCGACTGACCAGGGCAGGTTGGCTGCGGCCGCGTACCTGAACGTTGTCGGCGTACGTGTTTGTGCACCCATTCTTGACAATCCTTGCTTCAGTCCCAGATAATTAGCCTTGAACTCTTCGTGAGCGATGTCGGCGAACTGGTTCAAGCCCAGCCAGTAGCTCCCGTTCTTCCTGTTTGTTTCTGCAATGTGCATCAGGTTCTGCTTGAATATCCCGTACCTCTTCAGCTTCTCCTTCGAGCTGGCATAGATCTTGCTGTGCTTCACCGACCAGGATTTGAAGAAGTTAACAAGCCTGTTGGGCAATGCAATATCTTCCTGGGAGTATCCAACAACAGAGGGGTCTCGGTGGTGACTGGCAGAACAGGCTGCAAATGCTAGGAACAGGACGAGCACCGGGAGCTTGGGTTCCATGGAAAAATGCCTGCTGCTGTTTCTTGTCATGGCATGTTCAGGATCCATGAACACCTTTATACTGCAAATATCTATGTTTCTTGCAAGTAATTCACTGCACCAGATTTGGCTCTTCTGGATGAAGCTTCTGAGGGCAGTGCCTTGCTTTAGCAGGAAGCTGTCGCTGCAGCCTTGCAGGTATGCCTCTGTTCCACAAGTTTCGTAGGAGAATGCTTTTCAGTGCTTCTCCAAAGTCTCAGATGACGTTTAAATCTTGGTTTTGGTAACATGATGCATTATAGTACGGGTATCTTATACTTGCAGCTCTGCACACCCGTTGGAGATAACTTGCTCGACCATGCGAAGCAGCAGCACGATGGCCTTTTTGAAGGATAGCTAAGCATCTTTTGCTCGTCTGCTCAAGTCATCACCAAACAGAAGAACCCCACACTATTTTATTCTCAACCAACTACCTTCTATCAATTTCGAGTTTGGTGACGAGATGCTAGATGTGCCAACTAACAAGCTCAAATTCCTGGAAGCTTATACTCCGAACCAAGGACCAAAAAATGACCACTTTGATACTAGAATCTACGATCCGGCAGAATCAGCGCCCCCCCAAAAAAAAAAAACACTTTGATACTAAAATCTACTATCCGGCGAAAATCAGCCTGAAAAATAGCTTGTTTTACAACAGCTCTGATAAGTAAGAGAGGGAAGAGCAGGGTTAAAATGCAATTATGCTACATGCTCTTGCTCTTCATACGCAGGCTATCAACATAAACCAATTGGCTCGATGCATCCATAGAACAGTAAAATTCAAGGCAGCCATGATTGCAATATGATGATCATTCATCCAATCTAATAGAAATTAAATTGGGTTGAAGCTCAGTTACATTGCACTATTTAGTTGTTCACAACAAAGCGCAGTACCTTAAGTCGATAAAATAGTACTCCAACAGGTCAGGAAAGAAGCACTGATCTCACGAACTTCAAACAGAAGTGAATATTGACAAATACACAGAAGTCAACAACTGAGTATCCAATGCCTGATTTTATTATCAACTCACAGTGCTATTTATGGAACCTTCAGGTACTTAACTTACTCCACATTATTTGCTTTTCCAGGAACTGGAAACAAACTATTACATTTTGGAAAAGCAGGAGCAGCTCATCTCATAGTACAAGTTCAATCTGATGGGCATCCACGATTCAAGCACATCTACCAGTGTACGCTCAGATCTGAAGAGCATCAGCAATTGAGCCAGCAAGGCTCAGAACCTCAAATGGAGGTCTTTGGCCAATAGCTTTCACTGTGTGTGGGCATGAGTCCGTGATCCAGAAGTAAGCAAACTGGTCGCCTGGCCCAGCTGCGATCAACACATAATAAGCAACTAGAAGAAAAATTGGGACTTGCTAAGTTGGATGAACTGCCAATTACCAGAATTCGACGACATAAAACGTTCATATGAGCGCTTAGGGAACACAGCATGAGTCACATAAGCACTAACTTTTGCAGCGCCATGCGAAGCTAGAACTTTCTGCAAAAGAAGACAGATATTTTTATATAAAAAAAAGTGACAGGTAATGTAAGCAGAATATGTGATTCTTTGGAGGAAACGAAGAATATATGCCACTAAAGTCCAACCCTGAGTTATTAACACTCAACATTTGTCAATTGACGGTATGATAAACTACAGTAGTACAGACAGTAAACCAGGTCTACCAACAAAGTGAGAGTTGAGAAGGACTGAAAAATTGGGCACAGGTTTGACAAAAGAAGGCACTAGTGTTTCTTTTAGCTTTTAACAGCACTCTTTGTTTATGTACTGGCAAATGTCCAATATGTGCATTAAATATTATGACCCCCCCACCCCCAATAGCCCCTGCCATATTGAATATATGACACAGAATTTCTTTCCAAACTGAGTAAATGCTAAGACAACTAGGTATTTAAGCATTGCCATCTACTATCATGAAGAAGCAAAAGAATAACACATCCATCATACCTGGCATTCCCGAAGAGTTCCCCCAGATTGCACTAAATCATCAACAATAACAACATGACGGCCTTCAGGATTTCCTTCCTTTATAAGAACTATTCTCTTGTCACCTTCACGAACCTTGTTACAGACTATCTATATACAATCAAACAGACCAACATGAAATCCATGACAAGAGAACACAAAAACTGGGGGATTCATGACAACACAAGGTATGCGAAACAAAAGATAGACATATCCAAGCAAGAAAAGGGAATCGCTGACCATTGGAAAGTGCTGCAACAGCTTGTGGAACCGCTTCCACGCTCCATCATCTGGAAAGGCAATGGTGATCTGCACGCAACATGCCATCGGTCAACTACAGTAGGAATTTATCCCCCCAAAAAAAAGTTTGTTCGCACAATAATGTATGCCACTACGCACATTTTCTGCGTCCGGGAGCTGGCGGAGGCGCTGCAGCAGGAGCGGGATCCCTGTCTCGAAGCATGGCAGGACGTCGTCCCCGAAGTAGAACCTCTCCTGGAGCGCGTGGATGTCGTAGATGACGACGCTGGTCGGCCCGCCGCGCGACTTAGGGATCATCGAGAGGATGCGCGCGAGGGTGAACGCGGTGGCGACATCGCCCTCCTCCTCAACGCGCTCGAAGGAGCCCGTGGGGAAGAAGGGTAGCACGAGCGTGAATGAGGCGATGAAGAGCTTGGGCAGCGCGAAGATGACAGAGATCTGCTCAAATATGACCGCCGGCGAGCTGAAGGAGGCCAGGAACGCCACGTGCTGCCCCCGGATGTCGTGGGCCTTGTTGATGAACAGGTTTGGGAACCCATCGTCGAAGCTCCTGGTGGTGCGGCGTCACAGAACTCGACGGATCAGCTTGCTCCACGAAATCGGTGAGGCGGGAAGAGGAAGAGGAGAGGAAGGGGAGGGTAGCGTACCGCCAGTTGATGGACTGGAGCTCGATGGCGTCGGAGCTGGCGGCGACCTTGAGGGCGAGCTCCTCGCATTCGGAGCAGTAGAAGAGGTGTATGTGCTTCTTCGCCTTCTGCTTCGCGGCGGCGACGAACTCCATCGGTGGGTTTCGGCGGCGGCGGGGACAGGGGAACCAAAAAGAACGGCGCGGGGCGGGGCGGACTCTGCTTTTGACGGAACAGTTGATGCCGGCTTTATTGAGACGCAAAGTGGGCAGCGCTGCGAATTTCTCCTTGATTTTTGGCTTTTCGGAGCCTAAACCCTAGACCCCAGTCCCCAGCCGCGCAACAGAAACAAAGCGGCCCGCGATCTGAAAGATACGGCGAGGCGAAAAGTGGCGAAGAAGATAGCGAATTTTTCCGGTTTATAGACGGACGCGAAGGCACGGGCATATGCCGTATGCGACGCCGAGACGGATCGGCATGGAGCGCGCCGCCGGCTGAACGCGACGGCTACTTGCTCAAGGAGTCAAGGACGCGTTGCTTTTCTCCTCCATGGCCCTGCCATCATGAAGCACGCAGCCATCGTCATACCTCAAATACGCCATTACTCATAAAGTGATTTTTCTTGTATATACGTCAAATACATCATTACTAAAGTGACTTTTTTTCTTGTATAGATAGAATGGTGTTTCCAGTGAAAAACATCATGACTCATGAGCATAAAGTGACTTTTTTTCATGTATAAAATGGTGTTTCCAGTGAAAGAAAAACGATATGCAAGATAGTAGGGTCAATCTAGTTAAATAGCAGAGTTCAGACTTCAACTAACGATTTGGCAAGCATCAAAGAGTAAAAACTGAGACATGGGGCTGGTTTATTCCCCACTTGACTGGTGGGATGGTGATTTACAATAGCCTATCCTCCTGTGTATGTTGTACCCTTGGGCCAAAAACAATGAAGTAATCATAAGTTACAGGTATGTGGTTAATCCAGAAGCACTACAAAATTGAAACCTCGAAAAATAATAATGCCAAAACTTTTGCACAGCAACAATCCCTTCTTGCCGACAGGAATCTGATTCGTCTCTTCAACATCAACATGAAAGATCAAACTGATGGTCTTTCCAGTAGCATACTTCACCTCGCATGCAGCCTGGGCCGAGCCAAGGAGAGGGGAGAATTAGGGTTGCTCAGGTCTCAACTCACGATCTCATCGGATGTTGAATGGCTGGTTTCCAAGTTGAATTTAGGCTCACTGGGATACACAAAGACAGTCGCTGCTGAGGCTGAAGGAGTCAATGCAGCAGAATACCGCACCGAAGTCACTGTGATCTTTGGCAACTGCTGAGAGCCGGAACCAAGCGGTACAAGCTTATGACTAACAGTGTGCTCTAATTTCGGCAGAATGAAAGCAGCATGATTGTGAGCACCAGAAAAAACGAAATTCTGGGAATCAACAAGGGAGTACTTGATTTCCTGAAGCAAAGACGTTGAGTTGTGAATCTTCACATAGATAGTGAAAGGGATTCCAAGGATTGCATAGGGAGGGCACTCCATGCCCACAACAAGCGGCGGCTCCTCAATGCTGACCTCAGGTAATTGTTCTTTCATAATAATAAGCCTATCTTGATCCTCATCAAGGCTTGAATCTCTTGACCAATTCAGGCAAATTTCACCTAGATTGAAGTTTGTACTGATAGCCCATGGATTGACCGAAAATATTCCTTTGTATTCCTCACTAGGGGCAACAACTCCATGACCATTGGAAATTCCACTGATCTGTTGCACTGAACAGAGCTGCTCTCCATCACCATCAGGTTGAATGGTCATTGAATGCAAACACAAAGGCACATCAGTGCAGTTTCTAGCAGTCACAATAAGCATGTTAGACTCATTCATAGCAAGAGAACATTTTTTATCATCACTTCCTAAGGACCTGATCCCTGATAGCAACAACGGTTCTCGCCTAAATGGTCTAAAAAACTGGTGACTAACTAATAAGGGGATCTGCCCTTCAATTTGCAAGCTTCTATGTACGTTAAGCCGGTGCAATGCTGCTTCTTCACTTGAGCCTAGGGAGTAACCAAGTGAAACATAAAGCATGACTGATTTTGCTCGATGCCATTTGATTTCTAATTTGCATGACCAGGAATCACCCACACTCAATGTGGGAACAGATACAACCCCAAATTCATACTGGATCTTTCTTATGCTATCAGCCTCTTCCTTTGACTCTTTATCCTCGGACACAGTTGAGACACCAAGAAGTTCAACATGATGACTTTCAGAGTCTTCTGCTTCCCTCGGACTCAACAACAGACCACCACCTCTGGCATCAATGAGGTTAATTTTCAGCTCACCAGAATGGACTGCACGCCCTTTTGACTCTATGGTCACTGGTACAGTAAATAACTCTCCAACTAAAGCAGGGCCAGCAGAATTTAAGACAAGGTCAACTTGAGCATCTGGCTCTTCAACTTGAATAAGTTTCTGTCCAGAAAAGGCAAGAGCAGTGTCCTTTGTGGGCAGTGTCTCCACTTGGTTCTCAAACTTCCATAATGGGAAGTCTTCCATGGAAGCAGGGCTTTCAGCGTGGCAGCAAATCACAAGGTGTTTGTTTATTGTCGCCTTCACAGACAAACATTCTAGCTTTCCACTGTGTCCTGCAGAACATACTCACAATGTTAGCTCCATTGTGGAATTAGTGGTAGGAAAGCTATCACAAAACACATATGTCAAGGAAAGTTTTGGCTCAAATGTTCGAGTACCAAGTAACAAATAGGCAAAGCCCTCTAAAACTACGCAAACTAAAAAAATAAAGGGAGCTATAACTGTGGTTTCAGCTTTCAAGATGGAACATCACATGACAATTCTTTATATGCCGCCTATTACTAAAAATTGGTATACCCATTTTTACCACAGCTAGATAACTAGCCAACATATCACATGACTGGTTCCTTCATAGCTTAATAGTTTGATTCTTTTTCCTAAAAAAATATTATTATTATGCAATTAATGTTAACCAGTTTCTTTTTCTAACTGAAAATGTTAAGCATTTGTTTTCACTGGATTTTTTTCCCAACATTAGGCATATCAGTATGAGCATACATCATATGGCATGCTAACAGTACATGTAAATGTTAAGAGTAAGAAGACACATAGATGGTAAACGTTAAGCAATCGCTGCAGTTTCGGCTTAAGATGGCATATAACATGACAATTCTTTTGAGAGAATGCCACCTTTTACTCAAAATGGATGTATCCCATTTTTATCACAACTAGATAAGTAAGGGACATATCGCATGGCCAGTTCCTCAGTAGCTACTAATAGTTACTCTATTTCCGTCAACTTTTTTCATTGTTATACAATAATGTTAAGTCTTTGTCCTCAGTATATGCATACATCATATCACATGTTCAAGTACTCCAAATATTAGCTCAGTTCTGCATGAAATCTATCATAAGGTGCAGCTCTAATTAATGCAGATGCTAGAAAGTTGGGAGGCCCCGTGCATGTATCCCTGGTCATTTCTCTCTTGTTTAAGTGGCGAGCTTTTTTTGCTGAGTGCCCGTGTGGCGGTGTGCATGGTGTGTGTCTGTGTGTGTTCTATTGAGCTTTGCCCCTTGGGAGATTGTAAGAGACCAGTTCTTTCTTTCCTATCTCTAATACAAAGCTGTGCAGACCTCCTGCGTGTTTGATAAAAATATAGATGATACACTTTTTTTATCATACATGTCACAGGATACATCAATAACATCATATCACTATGTATTTATCATGAATCCATAATATGCCATGGGTATGGAGCATGCTATTTTATTTTTAAGAAAAATCTCTCATTTGAGAATAACCTAAGGATTAGATCTTTCTCTTCAGTTGACATTATATTTACTTTCCCAGATTCCCTGGCTAGTGGTGATTTCCATAGAATTTTTATCCTTCCCTTGGCATGGCAATAACATCCCAAAAGAAATGGTTTTGGCTAAAATAAATCAAAATAATATTTTTGGGCTTTCTGATTTTCTTTAACGCTAAAATACATAAAGTATCTGGCTTTTGCTAATCCAGGTCCCCCACATGGAGTTCCTAGCTCATGTATTACATCAAATACAGGGCCAGGCAACCAGCACAATTTAATTTACAATAGATGCTAACACAGTAACACGAGTGGATGAACACTTAATGAAATGAAGTATTGTCAAGGTTCCTGATCATGACAAGTATATATACCGATAGTACCTGATTTTACTTCATGTGTCAACCGCATCCATCTATTGGTGAAGAGTGTAAGAGAAGTATCTTGAACAACTTGGTCATGCAAATTTGAATCTGAAGGAGGAGAATCTTCCCGTGTACTATGTATCACAAAGTTACAGTCAGATTGATTGAACTGAACCTCCAACTGATCAACCACAACTGGAGAAGGAAGATGAGATAAGAGTGACACGCTGACAAGCAGAGGTGAACCAGGTTTTACAGATTGATCATGAAAAGCAACAGATGCAGTAAGCACCATTCTTAGCGGACTTATCTGATCAATATCAAGGTGAGTAACTTCTTCCATCGCATTATTAAATCCATCATCGGTTCCTTCTGATGACTGTTTTCTTTCTAAAACATTAATAACTTCCTGCTGTATATTCTCTCTCCTGGAAATGGTAGGGGAACCTGCAGGCCCACTCTTAATTTTTTTTTTTCTCGATTTTCCTCTCCACTACCAGAAAATAATGGTAATGCAGCCATCTCTAGAGAATAACTGATAAAATCCTTTGGAGAATTAAGTTTCATTGAACACTCTCTCAAGTATCCTAGGTTCTCCCAGAGCAAAGTGGTCCAACCCTCTTGGCGGTATAGGCCAGCAACACTATCAAAAAGCTGTTTTGCATTGCTAAAATCCCCAGCTGTGTAATATTCTATGGCCATTCCACCGCTACAGGCAGAAGCCATTCTTGTAGCACCTAGGCTCTGAAATGATTCATAAGCTTTTCTGAACAATGCTATTATCTCATAAGAATCTTGAAACCTTTCAGCTTCTGACAAAGCATAGCTGGTGTATTCAGTATCAGAAAGGCTGCAACCAGATTGAGGTATAACTATTCATATTCATATTCGTATAAAGAATATGTTATAACTTTTTGAAAACAAGTATCAAGGAGCTTACGGTAGTATACTAACTGTATCTCCTTGCTCAAACAAGCGGACATATTGGCCAACATATACAGAAGGCATTACTGACTCAGGTACTCCATTAGCTTCTGTTGTAAGGTTAGCCATTGATGATGAGCATTCGATGGCATACCTCTTCTCTCTCAAGTAAGTTGCCGCTAACTGTCAGAAGAAAATGTATGAGAAGTCAATTGTTAGTGCAATCGAGTAAATGGAGTGTCTATCGTAGTGTTGTGCAAAGATGTAGGTTGAACCTGATAGTAGTATGCTGGCTGAAATTCCCACTCAGTCAATGCATTGTCTGCAGTGCCAAATCGAGGAGATAATGTATCTGGAATAGTTGTAGATGTTGTTTCTATCAGCTCACCAAAGACGAGAAACTGCCTGCTAAACCACTCCCAGTGAAGAAAAGCAACTTCTGGTGTTCCAACAACCCGTTCATAGCTTCTGATATGCTTACAGAACCATGTGATTGCTTCTACCACTTTACTAGCATGAAGTAGCAAGGTTGATATCTTAAAGTGAAATTGCTCGGCAACTGCTTTTATCTCAACTAGGCGTTGGGTTGGAGGCAACCTTGTCGAAGTTCCAATCATCTAAATATAAGCACATTATTATCAATGGATGATGCAAAGCCAATAGAAATTGCTTAAGAAACAGTGGCGGATCAGCTAACAGTGAGCTTTTTTGGATTTATGATAGCCATAGTTTGTCTTTTATTTATGAGATAATTGATTCAGTATGCCACTTGTTGACTAAGGATAAGGGATGTGATCAGACCTCACGCAAAACACGAACACCTTCCTCATAGAACTTCAATGCTTCTGGCCAATCCCTTCTAAACTCCGCATAAATAGCAACCTGATGCATTAGAATAATGGAGCAAATGGATAGATCAGAACAAAGTGGGAAAGAGATTAATCAAATTACCAACCAAATGCGAACAAAATTATCTATGCTTCCATGCTTTTACACTGCACCTAGAATGATTAATAGCACTAAATTGAAGGAGAGAGAGGTCCTTACCTTGAAGCAGTACCGGATGCTCAGCTCGACAGAAGCAAAGTTTCTTTTCTCAATGCGAGCCTTTATCCTTCGCCCTTCCTCTTTATAGAATGCTGCACATAACTCCGCAAACACATTCTTCAATCTGCAGATACAGAATATTACAATCATCCACACCTCCAAAGAATTTGGCATAGAAAATGGTTAGGATTGTTCTACAAAGTGCAACAGTAAAAACACAGGAAAAGAAAAGTTACAGACTTGTTCAGAGATCTGTTCCATTCTGATTCATCGTGCTCAACCAACACAACCAAGTGCTTGGAATCGATTTCTGCACGTTTCCTCAAGGCAACAGTTACATCCTCACTCAGCTCATCTGCAAAAAATATTATTAGGTGCAACTTAAAACCTTCAACATAGTTGGCATCCAACTACCCAGAGATAATCAGTCTACTAGTCACTGCATAGAGAGAAGAGAAGACCAAAAATTATCTAAGTCGGTACTTACCGCTAGCTTGATCCTGCACAAGGACCACCACTAATTTAGTGTTTTTCCCCTGAATTGCAGACCTGTGCGACAAACAAAAATTACTTGGCGTCAACTTCGGTTATACTAGCTGCTGTCAATAAAGTGTGGGTGGTGCTTCCTAAGTCCCAAATGGTTGATAAGTTGTCCATTTTGCATCCTAAGACTCGTAACTAAATCTCTGACCGTGCAAAGTCAATTTGGGATCAACAACGCAGCGATTCAGATAACATACTTGAGGTTTTCGAGATCGGAGCAGGCCTGGAGCCACTGGGCGGGGTCGCCGGAGACCTGGTCGGCACGGAACAGCGCAGCGACGGCGACCGGGACGCGGGTGCGATGCTTAAGGAGCCAGTCCTTCTTGAGGATTCCCGCGGGGGGTTGCGGCGGTGCGAGAGGGTCGCGGGGCTTACCGCTGCGGGCCAGGATGGAGGCCTTGGCGAAGTCCGGGAGGGCCAGTGTGTTCATGGGCGGCTGCTGGGAGCTGAGTGCCGCCGAGATCGAGGGGTGCAGCTCTGGGCACCCCACGATGGACACGAGCGACACCGGCGGCGTCCGCAGCTCCTCCGGGTAGTCCTCCATGGCCGCCCCACGCGCGGCCGAGGTGAAGCTACCGGGCGAGCAGCTCTGCTGTGGATATGGGCGGCGCCGCGGCGGCGGTGATCGCCGTGGCCCGGGAGGACGGAAGAGTGCTCGGATCTGCGGTGGCTGTTTGTTCGTTTCAGAGAAACAGGGACGAGTCTGCGTCAGCGAGGACGATGAAGTAAAAGCAAGACGCGTGACCTTGGTGTGATTTTAGAGAATTCCTTGGCTAAATAACTGAACTCGTGAAACATACAGATACACAGCAGTGTTAATGCACGTAGTACTGTGGTGAAAAGGGTATGGAGGAAAATGTGGACGAAGTGAATTTCACTTCGGAACACGCGTTTAACTTGTAAAAAATGTTAGGTCCTGATGCTAATGGTAATCTATATGTTTGGAGCATACTAGTATATGGTAATCTATATGTGTTGGAGTATATTAGAAATTTAGAGTGGAGTTTAGTTTAATTTACACCTCAATCACTTCAACACGGAGGTGAATCCGACTACATCTAAACAAGTCATCAGACATGCTATAACTTTTATGTTTTTCTTAAAGGAAAAACGTTGTTTTTGCCTCTATCTGGAAGCTCAATTGTGATTTTATCCTTATTTTTCAACTTTGTAATTTTACCCCTGTTATTTTGAAACGAATGAGTCGTTTGCCCCTGGTTTGGATGTCCGTTATTTAGGGACTGATTAAACGATTTAAAAAAAATAAAACACATAAAATCAAATGCGAAATGACTGAAATACCTCTTCCTCTTCATTCTTATCCACTCGTTCTCTTCGCTGCTATCCGCTCCTGGACTTGCCGGAGCCGCTGCTGCTCCACATCCTGTGCTTCCTCACCGACGCCACGGTCGCAGCATGATCACATGCCGCCAAGCGGCGTACATCGCTCCTCACGGAGGCGGGCCAGGCCCACGCAAGGCTCTCGGCTCATTGCTGGGACCCGCGATCGGACGCGTTCCTCTACCTCATTAGGCCGTCGTCAGATTGCTTCCCGACGCCGAGCGGCTCGACCTCTCGCTGGTGTCACCATGGGGCCACCTTCCTCTCCTCCGCGGCATGGTCCGCCGTCCATGCTTAACGTCGTCGCGTCGTTCGTGGCGGCGGAGGAGGTCGCGGGCTGAAACGCTTTTATCGCGGCGCGCCCTCGCCATCGCTTCCCGTCGTATCCTCGCTCGTCTCTCTGCCGCCGCCAACCTCACACACCGCTTTGGAGGTCTCGCCTCCGTAATGTCAAGCTTCGTGTCTTGGCACCGGCCGCCGCCGCGCCTCGACTCCGACCACGGATCTCGAGCCGCTCCTTGGGATCGCCTTTCAGCCAGCGGGCGCTCAGGCGCTCGACCTCTCCGAAGTTCTCTGCTTTGACGGAGAGACATCGAGCCGTTGCCAACTTCCCGCCGCCAAGAACCGTGGCCGAAGTTCGCGACGCCGCCACTGGTGTTTGTAGAGCCGCCCGCTTTCGCGCTTTCATGGACCGAGAGCACGAGATCGAGAGCGCCGCGTCGCTATCCACGCGCCTCCCCGGCGGCGTTCACGTCCTCGACACACGCGCCTGAAGCGCCCGCCCCGCCCCTCCGTCGCCCCATGTCCCAGACCCCAGCCACACCACAAACTGACCTGCGCCCGGCTAGGCCCCAAAGACCGCATCTCCGATGGTCGCGCCATGGCCGGACGGTCAACCCACACCACACAGAACCGAACCTCAACCTCACCGCAGAGGGGCAAAAAATTAATTAGGCATAAAAACAATGGGCAAAATCGCTTGGGCATTCATGTCTTTTGTACAAAGTTTAACACCGTTAGGGGTGGATGACGGAGCAGGGGCAAACTAGTGCTTCGTGAATGGCACAGTAGGGGTAAATTCACAAAGTCAAAAAAATAGGGGCAAAATCACAATTTCGATACAAAAAAGGATACAAACGCAAGAGCCCCTTTCTTAAAAGTTAGCTTTCTAACTAACTTTGTCTTATGTTGTTTCCCAAAAAAAATTGTCTTCTGTTTGTTGACTTTTTCTCTTGAAAAAAATGTTCTCTCAACCTGCATTACCAAAAGTTCTTTACAAATATAATTTTACAATATAATGTACAATGCCCTATGACTGAAAAACCCATCTTGGAGGGAATAATGACCCACAGGAGATGAGATGGATAACACTGACAACAACTTGACTACTTGGGGTCTTGAGTATAAACTACTCAAATATCTTGCAATCATAAAGGCTTGATAACACAGAGAGAGCATATATCTCATAAGGTGAAGCCTTGGAAACTCAAGAGAGTGCATCGGCCACCTTGTTGTCAGAGCTTTTCTTGTACATGGTCTTGTAAGATGAGCCCATAAGTTTTGTGGGAGCCTTTTTTATGCTGCCATGGTGTGGAAAGATTTTGGTCATCCAGGTGAGTCAACCTTTTTGGTCTGTAAGAATGATGAAGGGTGATCTTTAAAGGTAAGAACGTATTTGGCCAGTGCAGCGAAGAATGTCTTCACGGAGGACGCAAGAGGACACGCTGCTGTTGTTGGAGTTTCCCGTCGTCGGTGGTCAAACAGGCCACATAGAGCGCGCACGTGCGGGAGGCCATGGAGGAGGCGACAAGGATGGCCATCTCTGCAGTTGTTGTTGTTGTTGTTGTTGTTGTTTCTTCTTCTTTCGGCGTGAGCGGGCGGAGGCGAGGTGGCCTGAAAGGATCTAACAATGCCTAGAGGGGGGGTGAATAGGCGTATCTAAAAATTTACTGCAAATGCTAAGTTCAATTCTGTCAGTCACTGTCGGAAGTCCCGACGTCTTGTTCCATATATAGCGGCTGATGGAGAACTTCTAAAACTCATCACTAAATCTCTCAAGCACCTTCTGTGAATCATCACAAAGGAAGGTGGAGTCACCTACCTTGGGATACAATATCTGTCTCAGGATGTTGTTCAGAATATAATAATAGGGCTTCAGAAACACTGTCTGTCCATCAGCTGTGTGGCCTTCAAGATACATGTGTTGATACTCCTCCAAAGCGAGATCCTCATACTCAGTCAGCTTAGTAGCAGTGTGGTCGCTGTGACTCAAACCAAGAAGGTGAGAGAAAGTGATGAAGTCCACCTTATAATGCTTGCCTTCAGTGGTCCAGTGAACAATGTCAATAGCACCGGTGTTGTCTCGCTCATGATGATAAGAAGCATAAAACTGACAGATTATCTCATTGTTCTAATGCTTCCTAAATTCTAGCAAGTAGGATAGCCCCATTGAGTTAATATCTCGAACCATCTGCACCAACTCGGGCTCCTTGTACTTACCAAGAGAGTATGCATCAATGCACTTCATCTACAGGACCAGTGGCTCCTTCTTCTTTAAGAACCTCCGATAAAGAATGGAATCATAAAAGTCATAATGAAATGGATGCCAGAAACGGTACTCAAGCCGTAGATCCTTCTCGTCCTCAGCATAGAGGTTCCTGCCCCTCTGTCTCCGGATGTCCCTAACCTTGTGGCGATAATCAATTGGGAGAGGAGGAGTCCAGCCATCAGCAGGATTCAGGGCCATGACAGGCTCCCGCATGACCGGCATACCACCCATGAACGGAACAAGCTGAGACACACCCGCTAGACCGCGAGTCGGGGTGCGAATCGGTGGAGTAGCAATGGTACGGCCAGCACGCTCAAGTGCTTCCTCTTCTTCATCAACAATCGGCATGTCTCCAACAAAGGCCGGAGCAGGAGGAGGAACGGCAGCCGATGACCCTTGGTCGCCACGGCCACGGGCAGCACGGGAACCACCAGGGCCACCACGCTTATATGTCGCCTTGGTGCGGCCAGGCGGCTTGGGAACAGCGGCACGATCTTGATTCTTCTTGGAGCGCTTTTCCTGATGACGCGAGGGACTGCTACCACCTTCCATGACTGCGAAGAACACAAAGTGGAACTAAGAAACAATACAAGGAGAGGCGAACAAACATCGAGAAGTGAAGAAACAGGAATGGAGTGTTCACCATAGGGTCAGTAGTCCCGACCAAAATTGGGACTTCCGACAGCCAGGAGTTCCGGCTTACGTCGGGAGTTCCGACGGTCGAACTACCGACGGTAACCGAGACTTCCGGCGCACACGGTGACCATTCCATTCATGGGGCTTCAAATCCCAACACTCACTCAAGCAAGGAAGATAGAGGAGTAGAGAGAGAACAAGAATGGAGGCAAAACACAAGGTACATTGAAGTTAGGGTTCGACGCCACGGTAGTACCTTGAATCGAGAACGGAGGAGATGAAGAGAAACGAATCGCAGTCGACGACGAAATCCACGAGCGCAATCACCACCGCCAATGGGATCTCCACGACACCAACGAAAGTCCACCATGATCCGAGGAAAAATGAGGGCTTGGGCGGAGGAACAAGGGCGCGAGGGGCCGGGACTACCGGCAAGACCCCCGGCGGCGCAAGAATAGGGAATGGAGGCCGGAGCACGGGGTAGGGCGGCGGCGGGGGCAGGGCGCGACGGAGCGGTGCTAGGAGCAGTGAGGGCGACGTGGAGAGGCGATGGCGGCGTGTGGAGAGGTGAAGAGGAGGGCGACGGGAGGGGAGGAGGAAGGAATAACCGCAGTAAAACAAATGCGGCCGGATATAAATGATGCGGTGAACCGACGCAGTGTGGTCAAAACCGCAGATATGCTCGGCGTCGGAACTCCCGGCTTACGTCGAGACTTCCGGCGAAAGCCGGGACTTTCGGCCGTCGGGACTTCCGACGTACATCGGGACTTTCGACGCAGGAAAACAGAAAAACCTTCAAACTTGAACTCACTACACCATGTGGGGCAAAAATATGATGGACACTAACATTTTCACAGGTGACTAGATTTCATTCAACCAATACAAAACAATAGTCACTTATGAAAATTACAAAATAGAGTTTAAAAGTAGCACACAATGTTATAATTGAAAGGATCTAACAATGTTTTCTCAATGCTTTTCTCCTAACTAGATCAAACAAAATGTGTGTGTAAGGGATT